AAGGCATTAAAAAGAAAGAGTAAATTTTTTGAGGACAACAAAGTTGAAAGAACCCATAGGGTGAGTGCATATAGTCTTTGAAAAATTTACACGTGCTTATTTACACCAAATTGTACAGGAAATCAAGTTGTTACTTGTTAATAATTTACATAAAAAATGCATCACAAAAACTCGAGAATGATGAAAGATTGTGCGGCAACACATGCTATTTATAATTTGCACCTGTGTTACAACTTTACACTTGTGTTAATAATGGTTAAAGGACTGAGTGGAATCCAATTCAGTCTGTAATCACATGAGTGATTATTATGATTACATAAAAAATGTACTTCTTTTCCGCCAATCAGACATGCATAATTTTTCCATTTATATTATTATTTGTTAAATCATAACCATTACAATTTCCTCAAATGTGATTGGTGCATTAACTGCTTTATTTTTCACAAATCAGTTAGTAGAGTTGTAATCAGTGTAATCAGGCAGTTGGCTATTATCTGACACCATAATTGGACAATTAAAGCAGCCAATCATACTATGTCCACTCAGTTAAATCCACCAACCACAGAATTGATTGCAATAATCAAAGCAATAATCACTTATCCTAAAAAATTGGGGTATTTCCAGAATGGAGGAATTTTTAACTTTAGGCATTGTCTCCACTAGAGATATTTATTCTGGATATATGTATATAAATTTTTTTTTTGTTCGGAAATTGTAATGGTTATGATTAATCATGGTAACAGGACTGAGTGGAGCCCAATTGTCCATAATCATTTTCGTGATTAACAAATCAGACTCCCGCTTTGCAGTCGTCCGATTTTGTTTATCAATCCTATGATTACAGACTGAACTGGACTCCACTAAGCCCTATTACCATTATATTAGTTCAATCTAATCTCCCAGTAACAACACGGTTTTGCATTAAACACTAAAATTTTTATGACAACCTGAATAACACTGGCGTAAGGATGTGTCTCTCTTCCAATTAATGAAGGTAAGCTATCCGAAAATCAACAAAAGGAGTTTATTCAGGCTGGATATCGGTTGAAGGCTCGGCTATATTAAAAATGTTAACCCGTTACAGGAATAGTGATCCTGATGGCGGCCTGTCATCTGGCGGGAACTCTAAATTAAATATAGGGTGCGAAAAGTTTTTCCTTCAAGGCTACAGAGGAAGGATGTATTTCAGTTCCAGTTTCAGTTACGCTCATCGAAAAGGTGGACAAAGGCTCGTCGCTGCAGTCTTCTTCTTTTGAATGTTCAAATAGGTGGAACAGAAGGAAAACTCTAACATGCTTAGAGAAAAAATTGCAGAGATCAAAAACAAATATTCCTTCTTACCTGAAGAATGATCATCCGTTGGAAAACTCGTCAAACACACTGCTTTTGACAAAAGTCTTTCCTAGGTTTTTCGTAGACGAAGCAGATGCCAGAGAAATGGCGGGAAAAGATCTTGAGTGAGATTTGATTCCTGATTTCTTACCAGGGAGGGGTAGGATGACTCGGTAAATGGCAATCTCCAGGGCATTTCGCATCGCAAGAAAAGTTTTGTCTCAAACTTTGCTCATTAAACTATCTTTGGTAATAAGTAAATAAAACCTCCTTGGTTCCTGGAAATACGTGAAAATTTTTTTTTAGAGCTCTCAATAATCAAAGCTGAGAAAGACCCTTTTTTGACCTATTGTGACATCGAAAATTTCAATAGTCGACAAGCTCGCTCCTCGTAATACACTACATGATGAATGTCTTAACATTCCGCGTTAGTTATTACGTCAGTAAGCCGATAGAAAGTGTGGGCTATTGCTTAATCTACTTTGTGATGTTGGATAATGATTATCGCCTATCAAAAATAATCCATGTTACCTTTCTTCCATACAGCAATAGATTACGGATGTCAAACTGTGGTAAGAAGCAAGAGAGAGGCAAATGAGTGGGTCATCTGTCTAAATAAAGGCAAAAGTTATATTTTGCAGACGTGGGAACCTGACCACGAGCCTTTTCGTAAGACTGTCGTTGTTGGTGGTAATCAGGCTCTAAAGTTATTTTCGATTTTGGAAAATTGCACTTACCGAAGAATCCGTGCATTTTGCTTCTCTAAAATCTACCGAGTCATAATTGTGATCGGGATGTGTTTCCCTGAGCGATCCTTAATTACAAAGATTTTGAATGTTTCATTTTTATTCAAAATTACATTTGCATAAGATCAATAGTTTATTATATGATGATGATGATAATCATCATCATCATCATCATCATCATAATCATCATTATTGTCATCATTTATACCGCACTTTGTCCATAAATGTCTAAGGCGCTTTAAAGAGTGTGAAGAGAATTTAAAAGCTCATCACAAGCGTAAAAATTAAAAGTTCTTATTCTAGATATTGAAATACTATTAAAAACTATAAAAGATTGGCATGCGCCTATCGAAAAAGATACGTGTTCAACTGTTTTTTAAAACAATCTTAAGTCTCACATAATCGTACTGAACCTTCGGTAAAAACTTGCAAAGAGAAGGTGCGGATACCGAAAACGATGTGTAACCATACGAACGTAAATAAGAATTATAGTTACAGTCTGCTTGTGCGCGCGGGACCGAACGGGTCATACGATAATATTATTTTCTCTTCCAACATTCCTTGAGCTTTTCGCGATAATATTTCTTTCCAAGATTTAACGCTGATTTACCGTACTCATCTTTTGCAAAAGACATGGCGATGAATTCATGCGTCCACTTTCACCAAGAACATAAAGAAGGGACGAGTAAGCCAGAGTTACTAAAATCATGGCTGTAGTACACTGTAATATTCTGATATTATTGAAGCAATCGATAATTAATTCAACAAAAAGGCTTAAACAGAAAAAAAGAGCCCGGAGGAAGTCACTTATTAGTGAGAAGAATTAAGTAGCGATCGATTTACATCGATCTTTTCATAAAATCTTCACGATTCATTGCCAACGACACTGAACAAACGAACTGTTTGTCTAGCCAGGCTAAGCCTGCATTTTCCATTAAGGGTGGGGATTCGAAAAAATTAAATGAAATTATGAAAATGAAAAAAAAAAATGTCACCTGATTTGAATGCCTCATCCGCTAAGGCGAGTGGGTCGTGCGTTCTGCGTCGTCGGTAATGGATCGTATTATTTTTCATAAATGAAGGGACGTCAGCTTAGATTGATATAATGGACGTTGTGAACTTGTTGTTGACGAGACTTTCTTGGGGTTTCTTTGGCCTGTCCTGCAGGCGAAGCTGATTAGACAGTCTCCGAATCAGGCGTTCTTACTGAGTGATATTGGAGAAGACGCTGTTGTTAAATTAATTGAGTTCTATATCCTAAAATAAAGCACAAAAATATCAGCTAATGCGAGACCTTGAGGTTTATTCCCTTAGAGCCTTGTGCTGAGCTAGATTTTTTTACGCTCAATTCAAATTAACGAAAATTTTCTATTAACGGTGGATTCTCATGCCGACTCGAAAGCTGGGGTATGTTAAATATCACTCTGGGTATAATGATCTAATGAGCTATGTTTTGTTTCTTATTGATTAGCAAATGCCACTTCCTATGAATATAGAAGGTACTGAAATAGGTGTAGAAATATGTTTCCTTTGGTTTATGCCGAACTCTGACGGAGATGATGCGACTTCGACCACTCGAAAAAAAGGTTGAAAAACAGGGTAGATAATAGAAAAGGATGTTCTGCGACATCAATTTCCTCGCCCTGTTCACCTTTGGTTTCTATACGATATTAGCGCAACTTCTATTACGAGAGAATGGTTATGGCGACGCTCGTTATAAGAGTAACTCTGGAAACCGACTTAAGTCCGCAATTCTGTGTCCAGATGCCGGGAACTGTACCTGTATGTTCGAAAAATTTAATGTCACAGTAAATTGCACTTCTGCAGTCGACAAATTTGACGAAATTGCATCCCACCTTCCAAAAACGACGACGCACTTGTAAGTAGCAAAGACTTTCAAAAATCATGTATTATGTGCACATTCTCGTTCGCCTAAATTTGTCTGATATTGATATTTTCTAATAGAAAAACTAATCCATTCAATGAATATATAGAATGACCATAGGAATAATTACATTGCTTATGCAGTTATATCATCTCAGTTGATGCTAAAACAACGGAGAGGTCTATCAAAATTGTTTATCTTGTTTGTCGTGGCTCGTTTTCATTATTATTTTTTAATTTCAAAGTTTTGTGCTTTTAGACGATTGTCGCCTACCCAATTTTTTTTAGATCAATGAATTTCTTCGAATATCCTACTTTGAACTGAGGTTAATTAGAGACGTATATTCATGTACACACCCGACAGATGACACTTCACCTCCTTATCATTTAGACAGCTAATTAATGTAGGGCGTTAAGTTTGCTTACTCGCTGAAAAACTCTATGTATGTGTATTTTTCCTCGACAAGATTTCCGATCAGCCCCATACAAATTATGCATACCATTCGTATTGGTAATAACATGATTTCGATTGCAATTTGGTTTTAATAAGCACGAGTACAACAAAATTGCACGAGCTCGTTGGGCAGGTGAAATTTATAAATTTGTAGTCTTTGAAATATTTACAAGTCGGCTTATTACACCAAATTGCAAGAGAAATAAAGTTACTAGTTGTGCATAATGTACATGAAAAAACGTCACAGAGAACAGCACAGACGAAGTTTTGAAAGCATGTGCGCGCTATTTGTAATTTTTACTCGTGTTAGAACTTTGTACTTGTGTTGCAACTTTGCACTCATGCTAAAACTTTGTTCTCGTGTTACGTGAGAATGCACTCGTTTTCAGCTAATCACAAGCGCGTAATTTTTTTTAAAATGTACATTATTACAGGATAAAACGATAGATTGAACAATATAATATATTGCCTTTGGGAATTCGGCTTTGTTTTAGAGAAGAATGGGGTTAAACCGAAAGAATTCTCTTTAACGGTACAGACAGTTACCTTTTTAAAATCTAGCTCTTTTTCTTCATTACTACAGAATTCTGAGGAACAATGGAATATCTAACCTACTCCCATTTGTTGTTATCACTGATTTTGAAGATCTGAAAGTACTGTAAGTACCGAAATGACCCTAAATCTGATTTATAACTCACCACAGGGCTCGGGAGTAAGTTTGCTAGTTGGGGAAGGGGACTCATAGGCAAACGCATAATTCTGATGTAACCAGGTTTCGGGGGGCATGCTTCACCAGACAACTCCTAGTGCAGTGCAGGGCGAGTTAACCTTACAAGCTCGCAGTAATTTATTGAACTGGTCATATTTAGGTTAAAGTTATAATGGAGGGTGGGGGAAGGAGGCGGGAATATGCGAAAATAAGCGTGTCCGAGAAGACGAAACACCCTCAAATTAGTTAACCATAACTGCATTCCCGGAAATGAGCGAAGAAGCAATCAAAATAAATTTATTTTAAAACCCGAGGCACTGTCTCCCGACAAAAACAAACTAGAGCAGAGCCGATGAGTGAATCGGTGAGGCCATTTTTATTTTTTTTATCGTAGATAGAAGGGGTTTGGAAAATACCCATCTACGGACGCAAATGTATAAATAATAGCTGTTCGCATCTTGGAACGGAATATCCGTGCATATTTTCACGCAAAATTGAGGCTTTTGTGTTCATTACCCTTCGAATATTTTGCAAAGCGCGTAAAAAAAAATTTACGAACAGCTTACAGTTTGTTGTATGGGAAGCTTTCTTTTAAGAGTTCTCTGGTACGTTTTAAGGTTACCTCTCACCTTCAGATGCAGAAAAAATCGTCTTTTCCTTTATTTGACTTAACTGACTTCAAATATTTTACCTAACGTTTCCAACAAAAAAAGTTTTAAAATCTTCAAAAGCACCTAAGTTTTTTAGGAAAATGTAATTTCAAAAAAAAAAGTTAATAAATCTGGAAGGTTTCATAACCTCCTACCTGGTTTTAATTTTATTTGCATATTTGGCTTACATCGCGCACTTGACAGAATTAACATGTGGAAGCTCTTTGCTTGTGAAAAAATCTTTGCTCATGGAAAAATCAAGAGCAGCAGAAAGTCCTTTGCAAAGAAAGAAAAAACAGGCCCTAAGAAGAAAGAAAGAATACCATTATGTCAAGAGAAGAAAAAATCCTTGGTGAAAGCGACTGGTACACGCGGAGCTCCACACTGGTGTCCAGATTTCGAACAATGACGTGCCGCGAGTTGTTTATGAACCTTTAAGCTAAAATCGGGCCTTTGATTTTAGGAAGAATACATGACATACATCCACTTTGAGCAAATTTATAGGGTATTTAGATTTGATCGATTTTCGTTAAATTTCGGCGAAACTTTCCAGGAATAATGACAAACAAAATTGAGTGGGGAGATTTTGATATTTGAAATATTTGTCCCGCGACGCCCATTTACGCAACACGCCTTGCATATTTTTAACTACTCCAACTTTAGATGCCGATATCTAGACAACCAATCAGAATTTTGGAAAAGGCTGACACAGTTTTATTGATTGATGCCCTATGAATAAGATTGTGCAGCCATTTTGCTTGTGCTGCGGCACCGATACCAGATAAATTCAATAGCAGAACCTTCAGTCGTTTAACGCCTTACCAGCCCCTGACACTTCCTAAAAGGAAAACTTGCTTAAATTATATTTTTGTTGTAGACTGGACTTATTAGGCTTTCTTCTGATGTATATTTTTCTAGGATTTTAGAGAAACTAACGAGCGTACGAATTTTTTCCCGAAGGACACCCGTGAAGGTGGGAAGTAACCTTAATGGCCAAACAAATATTTCCGTCCTTCTGCAACAACCATAAAACGCTTTCTCATCTTCAATTTAAGTTTAAACGAAGACTTATTGTCGTAAAACTGAGGATTTGAAAATTGGGGAAAATCACATGGGTGATGTCCTCTGATATCACCCAGTTTTAGCGAATATTCGGGATTATCGGTCACACGATGTGCTTAGAACAATCGCGCGCGTTCAAAAATATTCGATAGATCCTAAGAGCTGATATTTGCCGCAAACGACAACCCATGAACGTTACTGTCTCTAATTCCATTGACGATTTTTCTTCCATTTGATCATGAACATTACTTTAAGGCCGAAAAGCGACAACTGCTCTAGGAGGTTTTCTCCGTCATAATTTGCTTGATACGAACCAACATCTGAAATTTCCAGCTCTTCCCAAAGTCAGCTGCTAACAATTCCAGCAGATCTTTTCCGAAGAATGAGCGTCCAGAATTTTTAACATCGGCTATTATCAGGAGAAAGAATATGAACATTAACAAAGTTTCAGGATGCTCGTTGGCTAATTAAGGACGCGTCAATTATCCCAAGCAGTGCAGAAAGTTAAAACTGACAGTAGAAAGTTGAAATCAAATAGATTGATAGAAGGTTCGCGAAAGCACAACAACAACAATGGCAGACAGATTAGGAGGAAGCCACAACGTTTTAATGTATGAATTGTGCGATCGTAGCAAGATCTTGAGGGAATAATCCGGCTACTCCAGCAACAAAGCAAATGCAAGCGGCTGAACCAATGAGCCATTAACTTTCAAAGTATCGCCGAGCCTTCGCACAAAAACTATTTTCAAATATATTTTTTATCTGCAATTAGTGTGGAACTCCTTGCGACCTGAAATGCGGAGTCTTTCAAATATGACAACCTTTAGACATAGCTTAACGAACAACTTCCTAGAAAGTTTTTCATATCAACTGATAACAGATTATTTTCTTGGTAAATTTTTTACTAAGTGGAATATTGCTTTGTGTTTCCTCAATGTAGGGATCTCCGTGGCAATTGCATTACTACTCCTGGCAGTAAAAAGGTAGAACGCATTCTTGGGCGGCTATCGAAAGTGTAAGTCTGACTTAATTGCATGTTTTGCCAAGAGGACTTGAAAAGTACTTATTTCCTTAATTGTAGAGTACGTACTTTATTTTTCTTTTTTTTTACTTGGCACAACAGATCTCCCAAGCTTCTATGTTCCGTTTAATCCTTTCAGGTCATGTGATAATACTTCAGAGAAATGTTTCTTTCAAATTTCCTCTTGTTCATGAGCATGTATACGCATAATTTACGAAAGATAAATCTGGGAATTCGCTCGAGACCACGAATGGGTTAGCAAAACATACACGCAAAATAGGTCTATTTATGGCTTGTTGTAAGATACAACATATGAAGTAAACGTGCTTGTTTTCCCCTTCCTGCTGTTATTCGTAGCCTGGTTTATCCTTATTTCTGAGTAAGCCGAAGTTTCCCTTTGCTTGTACTCCACAAAAAAGTCTTGGGCTTCTAAAGTCGAAATGACAAAGGCATTGAAACGTGTGAAACGGAACCTCGAAGATTTTTACAAAACAGTTCGTAAACTTGAAAAGACGGGGAATATTATGATCCTGATAGCCTTCGTGCAATGGTTAGTACTTTTGACCGATACCTAACAAAAAATTAGCACAAAGGCCCGTTTATTCGTGACAAAGAGTTGTAGAAAAACCCAACTATTCTGGCGACAAGCAAAGGAAAGTGGCCGAACTAATATGCCATGACACGAAAAAAACAACAACTGAAGAGGAATATCTCGGTCAATTTGAAATAAATCAGGACTCATTAATTTTTTATGGATTACACATTGGTTAGAAATCCTGCGATTGCCTATTCAGCTATCGTGAATTACATTTAAAACAAAGACCATTAACTCATTGGACGTAAGGTTCTAAATTGGGGAATATTACCTCGGGTAATATCGCAGGATTTTCTCCTGTTTTTGCAAGGGCATTTTCGGTCACGTGATCCGTCTTGAGAAGTCACACGCGACCAAAAATGTTTGGTGAATTACAAATAACGGGAACATAAGTTTTACTAATAAGCCTACTGTTAAGCAGAACATGTTTTTGTTGTCCTTTTCGTAACAAACTTTGTTAAGTAAAATGGTGCCGTGTTTGGTTTTTGTGGGTAGTGCACTGTAAGTACACTAACCACATTGGCGTCAGTTGTGAATGACTGAGAGAGTGAGCGAGTGATTACACTTGGCACGATGGATAAACTTTACCTTACAATCTGAAAGGTCCATGGTTTGGCCCTACCAGCATCAATTTTGTTTCTTTTCTTTTTCTTCTTTCTCTTTCCCTTTTTTCTTTACCTTCTTCTTCAAAAATATATTTTTTGTCGATCCACCCGAACGTCAGCATTTATTGTACAGTAAACGGCATTTAAAAAGCCAATTACCAAAGAGCAGTGTTTGTCTTTCCCTCTCCTGCTCCGGAAATAACATGCTTCAATCCTCAAGACAATAATTCCTAGAAGTACATGATAGATACCTAATTCCTTTTCCCCTTCTACAAGTTTTTTTTAATCACGAACAAACTCAACGTATCAGCTCTGGTTCATTCAGTATACCCAATAATGCACACTAATTCATTTTAAATTCAACCTGTCTCCCATGCTGTATTACCAAAATACTCAAGCGTCAAATTGCGGTAGACCCTACGAAAGAAAAGCAGCATGCGTACTCTTAATACACTACCCACATTGCGGGCCTATTTTTGAAGGAATATGAGAGGGAAGGCATTTTCGCCAAATTAAATTAAGATGGTTTGTCGTTCGGGGTGGAATCTTTTGCTTAAAAAATTTCTAAATTCAATTCTCTCTCTACAGTTTATTGGACAATAACCCTCTTGAGTGTGACTGTGGAATAACTCCTTCCCTTTGGACAGCTGAAGTGACTGGCACGTGTGCACATCCACCTCATCTGAGGGGAGTTGAGGTTAACACACTTCTCACCAAGGATTTCAAATGCAGTCAGTAGGATTTCCTTCTTTTGCAAACTCGAATAATTTAAAGCCGTGCACAAGAACGAAATGGAAGTGAAGAGACGAGAGCTTCTGCCGGAAATATCCAATACCCTGCTGTCAGTTTCATTTGATGGAAATTTACCTACCGTATCATATTTTCGATCATTTTTGCCGGCTATTTCTAGATTAGTTTGACTATCTTTAATGTAAACCGGCACTTGGGGATAGATTTTTAAATAAGCGTCTTGAGCGGATTTTCCTTGAGTTGTTTCCTACTTCTTCTACTGAAAAGGAGGAGAATGCCCTCAAGACCGTGTATTTGGTATCTCCGAAGAAATGTTTATGTATAACTGTTCTTCTCATCACAGTCTGAGTTCCAAAGGAGTTGCATTACGTTTCGAAATTTGTCCTCAAATGGGGTAAAACGTTTAACTCTGTACGACGTCATTTTGAAAAACAACCCAGTAACAAGCCATTACGCACGCTTCCCAAACTGTTTCTGCTATGGATATCGCTAAAAATCGTTTTCGAGTTAATAATGCCTTTGCATTGCTCCTCTTGGAGAGGGAAGGGGACAATTATACTTTGCTGAGTCACAGGTAATAGGCAAGATTGCTCAGCAACATTTAAAATAGCAGGGTCCTTACTCCGATTCTAAGTATTTTGAAACGGAAGCTATTCGTATAGTTAGATCGCTATTCGGAATCTCAAAACGCGGTCAAAAAAATGGGGCAGATAAGTGTTAAATGTTTTTTCCAGAATATTTCTTCTAAAGATGCTCTAACTTATTTCTATTTGCTTTGTTCCTTAAAGCCAAAAGCTGCGAAAGACTTTTCACACAGGGAAGACGCTTGGATGGTTTTTATAGAATACACAAACCTGACACCGCTCAACTTCCAACAAACCTGAACTACATTTGGGTGTGGTGTGAGATGGACATACCTGATGGTGGATGGATCCTGCTTCAAGAGCGTGTCAATGCGACCTTTAACTTCTTAAGAAACTGGGTTTCTTACGAAAATGGCTTTGGAAAACCTGGGGTTGGCTACTGGCTCGGAAATAGATATGTGCATTCCATAACGTTTAAAAGAAAGTATGCATTAAGAATTGAGTTCCCGGGCTATTATAACGAGCACACCGTTACGCTGCTGGCCGAGTATGACAATTTTCAAGTGCTAGACCCCTCTACTGGCTATTTTCTTACATTAGGAAAGTATCGAGGTGGTTTGGGTGACGTCCTCTCACTTGTCAACAACTCTGCGTTTTCCACTTGGGATCACGATAATGACGAGGTGAAAGACGAGGAATGTGCCAAAAGAAATAAAGGAGCTTGGTGGTATGGCAAAACTTGCTATGTACACGACTTGAATACCATGCGGGGATTTTTGAGGATGAAAATGAAGGTTAAGGAGCTATTGGAAGGTATTGTTCTTTAATGTACTTCTTTTCAGAGAACCTCTGACCTCTTCCGCCCTCGTTCGTGTCGTGTTGATCTCTTTGCAACTGTGGGCATTATTTTAAAGGAACCCTGAACATTGTCCCTCGATTGAAACGAAAACAAACGTAAATAATAAAAAACAGATAGAAACATACCTTCTTTGAAAACCCATTGCTTGGCAAGATAAGACTTCCACTGAAAGAATGAATATCTTAAGTGAATAGTTCAAATCTACCTTTTTAGTGCCCGTTTTACAAAACATAAGACCATTGAAAAGTGCTTAGGTCCCCATTTTCTATCCCCCTGTTTCTCGAATTAAAAAATAAGCGTGTCATTGCATCTTTATTGTAGGTGATAGTATCTCCTGCCACCCAAGTATGAACTTGGCTACAGGCGATCATAAACTGCAAGTGCCCTGAAGAAAGACAAACTCGCACGGTCACTTTCAAATTTTCAGCATCCCCTCGTTAAGCTTTAAGCAGAATATATTCTAAGTCATGGTTACTGAAATTAAAAGAAACTCCATACATGCTCTGTAACAATCCTCGTCGGCGGGCCGACCTCTACCAAAAAGATGCTTTGAGGCAACTTTTTGACAGGGCTCTTTTTATGAAAAAGTTGACGATCTCACTTCCATCAACCAAAACATCAATTAATCAAAACATTTTGATTTTAGAGCCTAACAGGAATTACCGGCCACTTAAAAAAGTCTCACCATCACCATTACTAGAATTCCGTGTATTTACTTCTTACCTAAGATCCACAACCCTAACAACCCTTCGAGTCGACCCGTCGTTGCTGCCTACAATTGTCCCTCTGTACTCATTTCCAGCTGTTTAGACAAAATCATGGCTCTTATCGTCAAAACTCTCCTATCATACGTTAAAGACAGCAAACACGCACTTGAAATTTTCACCATATATATTACATCTCCCCATTATTCCCAATAGCGAAGGTCTCCTGGCTCTCAAACATTTTTTTGATCAACGTGCTCTTAAGGAACCTAGCTCTGAAACACTACTCCGCATAACCGAACTAGTGTTAACACTCAATTGCATTTCATTCGATGGTAACTATTGCAAACAAACTAATGGCGTAGCAGTGGGTACCACAATAGAACCCAGCTACGCCAATATTTTCGTAGTTTTTATCGAACACTAATAGGGACCTTAAGCAAACCACGACGGCGACGGCGACGGCAACGAGGACATGGAAAAACAAAAGATATAATGGGCAGAGCAATAGCTCAGCACATGCGTTTGTACATTTCTGAGCAGTCCTGTGCAAAACAACAACGTGAAATAACCACAATTTGCGTCGTCTGCGAACCGAAACCGCGACGACAAATTATTTAAATTTTTATTTGGAACTCAACGCTTCTTTTATACGTTATGCTGAAGTTGAGGTGTGGCGCCGTATGAGATGGTAAACACATGCAGCCATTTTTGAAATTCTAATTATAGGCTGAAATTCATTTTTTTAGTCGAAGTCTTCCTTGGCGTTGCCGTCCTGACTGCTTAAGGTCCCTCATTTTTCGGTTAATACAACGGCCTCAAATCTGAACTCTATGGCCGTCAAGAATTCCATTCCTTTTTAGCAGTTTCTCAGATTTTGTTTTTTTTTCGACAAATTTTTGGAAGTTTTTCGATAAACGTGGCTATCCTGTATCTGTCGTTTAAGTGGGCCACCACCGCACCTAACAAATTGACCGACAGTCAGCACTACAAACGGCACAGTAGTAAAACACCGATCGCATTTAATCCTCACAACCCCGCAGTTAAATCTATCATTCTTGCTGAACTTTAAATTATTTTAAAATGTTCAGAGACTGGTGCTATTTTTACGCAACCTCCACTAATTTCATTCAAACGCGACAAAAACATGGGAAACTTTTTGGACAGAAGTTCATTACAAACTAATGACACACCTGGAACTTTCAAATGCGTTCGCGCACGATGCAAAACTTGTCCTTTCATTCATAACGTAGAAAAAATGTCGGGATCTAAGAAGTCCTTTAATATCACTGACCACTGATCACTTCCTGTGCTCCTCCTCCAATGTCCTCTGCTGTATATCTTGCACTCATTGCAAAAAGTCATACATTGGAGAAAAAGAAAGACGACTAGGTGACCGATTCCGAGAACACCTTCGCGACGTAGAAAGAAATGACAATGACGCATCCAAACCAGTCGCTAAACAGTTTAATTTCCTTTCCTAAGCAGCATATGATAGTTTGCGGCCTTTCCTTACATCTAGGCAGTTCGGAAAGCCGCAAAGCTCTAGAAAAAAAATTTATCTATCAAATCAGTACTCCTGATCCCTTTAGTATCAATGAACACTTTTAATTCGTCTAATTTATTCTTGTTTTCTCGCTACCATGTTCCCACTACTAGCGTAGCTCCATTTTCTGCATATTAACACACACAACCCACAATTCCTCCTTGGGTTTGAACGGAAACCCCAAACAGTGTAGCGATGTCAATTACTTTTTCTGCACAAGATTTGACAATGTAGCGTTTATCGACATTTCCTCCAGAATCAAAAATTTTAAAATTAAAGTATCCCCTCAACACGGTCAAACTGTGCCCAAAAAGTAATGACGTAAAATATCGAAGGAAATTTTTGCTTTAAGCGTGTGTTATTTGTGTTTAGCCCAGCATAGTTAAAATATAAGAAAACCACTCACTACTGAGAGAAAGAAAACGCGCCGCGACATTAAAATTAACAATGTTTATTTACACATATCCTAGATAGCTGTACTTCGAAAAGAACCCAAAGAAGAATTGAATGTGGATGGCCAAACATTACAAAAGGGCAGTGCTTGGCTCGTAATTGCTGCTTTGACAACAGTGTACATGACGACAATGCATTTAATCGCAGGGTAATCTGCTTTGTTAAACCTCATCTTGGTGAGTATACTTTACGATAAGTCCTACTCGATAACACTTAAAATTTATTCAGTGATGGAAGCCGCTATTTTTTGGTGTTCTTTTGTTTCGAATTTCATCACTTTCTGATTCTTTCAAAACGCGTTTAGTCGTATTCAGAGTTGAGTCGAGTCTGCTGTTGACTCGACGTCACTATTGTGTTACTAATAAACTGATCTTTTGAAACAGCATAAACATTACTTAAAATTCACAAACCTCTTTATATAGCACCAAATAATTAGGAAAGTAAAACCTCTAAGCACGAGGATTAAAGCTTAGGAACTTGTGGGGTTGTGTCATAAAAAAAAACATTAATTACAAAAATAATAAAAAATTGGAGTCCTTAAAGAGTATTCACCGAGTATTCTATTATAGTTTGAGAGCCAATGAAAGTAAAGAAGCTCTTTAAAAAGTAGTAAATGGCTAAATCTAGAGTCATTGGCATTTCCTCTTTCGGTAAAGATTATTTAGGATAATCTAATGCAGTTTTAAAATCCTTTCTCTCCTTCAAGTTTTTCATGAGCGAATTGGTTGCTTTCAAGTTAAGAGTAAACGGCTATTGGAACATCAAAACCCTCCCTTAGATTTCTCCAAGACTTGCAGCACCATAGCGTGGTCACTTGGTCTTAAATATTTTGCTTTGCGGAATGGCAGTGAATGCCTTGGTGACAAGTATCTTCCCTCTCTATTACCTCGACTAAACGCTACGAAAGGATGTTTTGGAGGTCGTGGAGGACATAATGTGTCGGATGTTTATCGACTTAACAGTAAGAAAACCTTTGCACTATAAAATTTGGGATTAGATATTGGCCAATTTTTATTTATATCCATCAGCCATCAATTTTTTTACAGAAGTAATTGTCGACTCATCTGACAGTCCATCCATCATCCGCCCACCCCGCCCACAAATATGATGTTTAACTTAAACATTGTATTCGTGCAGAAGGCTCTCAATACCACAAACCATTCAATGCTATTGGAGAAACTGAATCATTATGGGATGTGTGGAATTATAAATGATTGGCATGGTTTGCTTTATATCTGGTAGGTCGTAGGCAGATTGCTGAAATTGGCTCCGAAGACATATCTAGAAAGGAAATATTACCATCCGGAGGCCTGAGGGGGTCATTCATGCTTTCTGTTGGAGCGCAAAAGCTATTCAAATATCTTGGCGTGCATCTTTACGAAATTGGAAATATCACATTTCTCACATCGCCTCCAAGCGTGTCAATTTGCATTATTGCTCGGTTAAGACCGATATTTCGTACCCCTGTATATTTCACAGCATACATAGGAATCACTTATCCAGCCCTGCGTTGGGACGAGCCGACAGATCTCTCAGAACCAAAATCATATCGTACGTCTTCAGAGACGGGCTCTCCGCCCTATGCTCTTTGGTGGTTATAGATCTCATGCAACACCTTTCTTCGCCTCCTCCAAGTTACCTCTGAACCTCCTTTATTTCAAATCAGTCAGTTATCTTGATGTGTGATGTTTTCAAAAATTAATTGCCACCCAGATAACTTTAATATTTATATTCATCCATATAATAAAAGGTCATTGCCATGAGATAATTTCTTCTTTGAGTATTCTAGATTAGGCAAGCAAAGTAAATCCTTCTCAACAAATAAAGCGAGAGTCTGCTGGAACAGTCTATCCGATGAAATGCGTCATTTGTCTAAAGAGAAATTTGAACAGACACTCGTAATGTGCTTCTTCAAAACTTCTTTGAGGCAAATGATCACAATGACTTACCTGATCGTTAGGAAAATTTCTTGAAAACTCTACTTATTATATTTGTATTATATTTACGTTATGAATGATTTTGCTACTAAATTTGGCTACGATAGTTTTATTTAAAGGATTTAATTTCTTGTTTTCCCCTTTCCTATTCAAAATCTTAGTCGTTTCAGTAATCTCGTTTCTCTTCGTTTAAAGATGTATAATAAGTCACACGTATTTTTTTCGCTTATCTTTTCGTAATCGACAGTAATAACCAACTGTTCAGTTTTTAATACCCCCTTTTACAGTTAATTTTTAAAATACTTGTCAAATTCTGTAATGTACTCTCCATTTTTTGTTTGCCGAATTCTTGCCAGATTTAGGTTGAATATCCTGTTATGCATTAAAACACTGCTCGCCTACACTAGCTGTAGCTAACGTCGAGCAGTGTTTATCTTTACTTGTATTTTAAACTTGTAAACTTGTAACTCAATGCACAGTTTTGACCGATAATTGTGTCTTCTGCGATACGAACATGTCGCTTTCTGCATATGAAAAACATAAGATGGTTAGAAAAAAGCTGTTAGTTTTATTACTGTATCTTTTTCTCTTGTTTGCTACATGTACAGTATTTATTTCAAGGCCAAGTGGACTTAGAACCAGTAACGTAACCCTTACAAGTGTCCGCTTGGATTGGAATGCGGTCCCAGAACGCTTTATTCTCGGCTACAAAGTTCTTGTGCAAAATGTCCCTCGCAATGAGACCCTTCATTGGAACAAGACCTATGCTTTCATCGAAGGTCTCTGGAGCAACACTGAGTACATCATAAGTGTATTTCCAGTTCATGGCTTGACAGATGAAAGGCACCTTGTAGGAAATGGAGCTACCATCATCGTTACCACCTTGCGAGAGCCAGGTAAAGGGGTTTGCAGTGCTCACACTGTGTCAAAAGTTGCTGAGAGTTGTGAAAGTCCTCAGAGTTATTCTCAGAAGTTTTCAAAGGAGGTAGCGTAAAGCATTTTACCGCTACCTATTTACTTTCTACCATTAGCTACTATCTTTACGCTAAAGCCTTTCATCCTGATTTTCGCGAGATGATTTTGTCAAATCTTTTATCACGTCATAATGTGTGGCAATTTATTACTTATCATGAAAGACATATTTTCTTCTGGTCTGCATGTGTTTCCTGTTTTGATAAAATGGTCATAAAGGGCGGAACAGATCTCTTTTACATCCCTAAATAATACGTCTGTGATGTTTCCTTCCATTGATAAATAAGGCAAATGAAAGGTACTTGCGTATATTTAAAATAGAAATGTAAGGAAAGGGTCTTCTAAGAATTTTTTTTTTAACCTTCAGCTCCTTCCCGAGCACCCGACGCCGTTACAGCACAGGCATTGAACTCCACAAGTCTGGAAGTAAAATGGAGTCCCTTGCTTGAGGAACATTTTCGAGGACAGCTTATTGGTTACTATATAACTTATTTCCGAGCTGATTTAGAGAATGATATTAATCATGTGGATGTATATTTCGCTTCGAATAGCACCATTCTCTCAAACCTGACTGCTTACAGCATTTATGCCATTAATGTGTCTGCCATGAACCCCGGAGGAATAGGACCTGCAAAGACGGCTTGGGCCCGCACAGAAGCAGCAGGTAACAATAAAGTTGAAAAAGTAGAATTTAATTCTCCATCCAATGCCTCGGTTACCTTCTATAAAAAAGGAGGTCTTACATGCAAAAATTACTGGTGTAAGTTTGGTCCAAGATTGACGTTTCTTTCTCTTTCAGCTCCTTGGCAAGGTCCTGAGGTGGTTATCGCACACTATTCAAGTTCTACGAGTATGGTTGTGAGATGGAGTCAACTGCCTATGAAGCAATTTCGTGGACAACCCATTGGTTACAGGATCGCTTATTACCCGGTTGAGTTAGAAAGTAATACTAATTTTGTGAGTGTGAACTACTCGACAAACACCACAACACTGACGAACCTGACTGTTTATACCATTTATGTCATTAACGTGTCAGCGGTAAGCTCTGGAGGAATAGGACCCACGAAGACAGCAAGGGCTCGAACTGACGCAGAAGGTAAGGAGGTGTTGAAATGGCTGTAGGTGTAGGAAATCGTGTTGTTGCCAAAGAGGCCTTTCATGGAAAGAAGAAACACAAAGAGACTTTTACTAGTAATTTCATGCCTCTCTGGAGCCCATGAGGCGATTTGCTTTCTGGTAATCTTCTAAATTTCTATTACTGTTGAGTTACATGTATTGATCCTAGTAGTAATTAGGAAATGTTTTTATATTCAACGAGTGCAGAGCGGAAATTTCGGAATGCTTTTTGTCATTTGCAATCATCGAATTTTCATGTTGGATTAGAAAAATTTGTAAAGTTTGCACCTGATTCAATATGTAGACGTCATCCCATGCGCTTATTAACATAAGCTGCCATCTTTAAAGACCTCCCCACCAAATTTATCAATTTATCGTTTTATTTTCAGCCCCATTTAAAGCTTCTCAGGTGGTAACTGCGCATAACTCCAGCTCCACAAGTCTTGTAGTGAATTGGAGTCACCTGCTGGTGAAAAAATTTCAAGGAAAACCCATTGGTTACAAAATCACCTTTCATCCGGTTGAATCAGGGATTGATGTTAATCATGTGAGCGTAAACTACACGACAAATAGCACCACCCTGACCAACCTGACTGCTTATACCATGTACGTGATTCGTGTTTCGGCGGTAAGCTCTGGAGGAATAGGACCTGCAAACACAGTGAAGGCCCGAACAGACTCAGAAGGTACTGTAGAGTCGATAATACCTTATGAAAGCAAAATAGACTAAAATAGACTCAGAATCATGACATTACTAAACAGTATTGTGTAAGGAAATTCTCACAAATCTACATACCTCTTGAGTCTCTTTTTTATTGATAATTTAGATTATTTTTACATTTATGAACTGAAAGTGTTAAAGTTTTTTCAAAACCTGAACACTGGAGTGCGAGCATATTGCACATTCAAAAGTTCCAGGTATTTTAAGATTAATTTGTCTTCTTTGTTGCAAAATTTTTTTTTCAATTGATCTCAGCTCCTTGTAGGGCTCCTGACTTGGTTATCGCCTACAATCTCAGTTCAACGAGTCTTGCAGTAAAATGGCGTCACCTGTCAGAAAATTATTTTCAAGGAGAACCACTCAGTTACAGAATCAGTTACAACCCAGATGGTTCAGAGAATGACATTAACTTTGTTAGTGCGAAGTACACGTCAAATACAACAACACTGACCAACCTGACTGTTTATACGGTATATGTCATCAATGTATCAGCAGTCAGCTCCGGGGGAATAGGACCTGCAAACACAGTTAAGGCCCGAACAGGCGCAGAAGGTAAGATGGTTTATAAATAAGAACTTTCCAAAAAGTAAGCAAATAGAAAAGATGCAAGAATTTAACGCTTGGATTACATCCGCGTCATGCTGGAGATGACAGTAATATAAATGATTGTAGCTCCCGTTGTGCTTTTAAGTAAACTGACAGGCACTTAAACATTCCTCTGAGTCAACTTTTTGTTACCTAATCCAAAACCCCTCGTAGAGCTCGTAACTTGGTCAACAGGGCAGAAAAACTGACTCTTTACAATTTTTGCAAGATCGCAGACTAACCCTATAGGAAAGAAAAAAAATTTATCCACAATGTTTCTAATCAGTATTTTCAAGGGAAAATTTGGTAACAGCAGTTTTTTTTCTATTTTCCAGTTCCCTCTGTTGCACCTGGTCAAGTTTTGGTTACTGAACAGAGTTCCACTAGTTTGTATGTTTCCTGGACCGCTGTTCCTCAAAAACGTCATCACGGAAAGATCCACCTGTACAAGATTTATATCAGCCTGGCTAATCAGCCAAGCAAGTATATCAATACATATTTCGTGTTTAATCTAGTCGAGTACAACATTAGTGACCTTCATGTTTACACACTGTACGTCATTCGTGTTTCGGCGCTGAATGAGGCAGGAGAGGGACCGAAAAGTAGAGCTGTTACAGCAAGAACGTCCGAAGGCGGTGAGTTTTATCATCCCAGGCGGAAATAGATATATTTTTTTAGATCTGTCAGTTATTTAGTAATACCCATGTGCATTGTGTCCATTCTGTAGTGCCCAGTGCACCCCCGATGAATTTAAGTTTGGTTCATAGCGACTCGTGGTCCATCGTCGTGGAATGGAAACCAGTCCCCGTGGGATATGAGAATGGTTTAGTCAAAGGATACAGGCTGGTTTACAGAGTGAAGGATTCCGAAAACTCTATGTCCATGGCTGATGACTCCATCTATTCCAATAATATTGCTGTTTTTTCTGGGTTGGAATTTGACACATTATACTCAATCCGAGTGGCTGCTTTCACAAATGCTGGTTCTGGAAATTTCTCTGGGGCGATCGAAGTCAGAACAACAATGTGTGAGTAAAGCCCCATCACTTCCACAATACAGCTCACGATCATATGGTCTAAAATTTCAAAAGCCTGGCTGTTTTCCTGTCGACTCATATAGATATGCCGAAGGGGGAACTGGTGACAAAATCTAGAGGGGTTGGGTGGTTTGCACATAGGTTAGCTCACATCTGTTATGTTTTCATTGATTAACTTATCCTATATATTCATCGTTTTATTTTAATCTTCCAACCTCATCTTCAACATTCTTTAATTTTGTAGTTGACCCATGCGACGATATTTTTTGCTTAAATGGAGGGACATGTATACTGACGCCTGAATCCTACCTGAATGCAAGCAAACCTTGCATATGCCAAAAACGGTTTTTCGGAAGATTGTGTGATACTTATGTTTCTGGTAAGAACGCGGAAACAACTTTCCAATTCTAAACTAAGCATTGTCGAGAGTATTTTCGCAAAATCCTTAGCTTTTTCAATCTTTGTTCCCTAGAGCGTTCATGTCGAAGTCCGACCGTAGAGCTGCCTAGTTTGTCATCAAATATAACCTCTTCGCTGACTGTACGTCGAGCCAATCAGCTTGTAATTTCTTCAAAAGTCAATCTTGATTGTGAACTTTTGTATGAGACAATATTTAACTGGGAAGTGTACGATCTGCATTCACAATCTCGGGGACATCCATTTCTTTCAAGATACGGTGGTTCCTCAGAATTTATCATAAAACGAGGCAAGCTACCGGTGGGTGTGTACTTGGTGCGACTGACTGTTAAAATGGCGGGAACGCAAGTATTTGGCCTTAGCGAGGGCTACATCCGGGTCATTGAAAGCCCATTAGTTGCGCACATCTCCGGAGGAACAAAGGTAGAAAGAGGATTCAATAAAACCTTGGTGTTCAATGCTTCCTTGTCACGTGACCCTGATTCCTCCAATCCTCCTTACGGTGAGATGACTACTTTGCTCTGATCACGAAGTAATATCGGATATATTTGCTTTTCTCAATCTACTGTGGTGGCTATCTTATCCATTCTGAAATTAACGCTGATAATCAAACGTGCTCTCTTAGTTAAGAGCGAGGATATTTCATCAATAGAAGATTCGTATTCCACCATCAGGCGCACCTGTCTTCCCATCTCTTTGTTGACCTTCCTCTCAGTTCCATTTCTTTTTTTCTTTTTTTCTCTCCCTGGTGGTAACGTTTCTAGTCTGTTACTGGTCATCCTTTCCTCTAAAACGGAACTTTTCAACTAAATAGGCAAAAAGCTAGTGTAGCAAGAGTACCATAGGGCTGAGAGGGGGGTAAATGGGACCTTGACCCAAACCACTCTGCGTTACCCTCTATTTTTTAGGTCTTCGTTTTACCTGGATATGCAGGAATTCTTCGCAAACATTTTCCGACGATCTACTTGAAATACCCGTGGTCCTGCCAAGGCCCTCAGCAGACAATCTCGACCGTGGAGGATGTTTCGGGACTGGAGCAGGGAATATAGGCGGCAACCATTCCATTGTGATGATCGACAGTGGCTTTATGACAGAGAATAGTTCCTATTTCATAACAGTTGTGGTCGAGAAGCATCCGAGAAAAGCGTATTTCACACAGGAAGTGGTTATTTCTCCAGGAGATCCTCCGGTAGTCGAGATAAGGTACGATCATGGTATATATATATATATATATATATATATATATATATATATATATATATATATATATATATATATATATATATATATATATAAAAAGGGGGTAACAGATAACGAATATAATTCAAGGAGGCCCTGCGCCCATAATATAGATTTTTTTAATAACTTTGCAGTGAGTGATAAATTTACTTATTAGAATTCACCAGTAGGAGACGGGAGTTACCTAACTCGGTAGGTGCATAAAGTTTATTTCTGTAGTATCTTTCATTTAAGCACATTAGCACATTCATTTAATATTCTCATAGTAACTATATTTGTCAAAACTATCACAACCTTTGGAAACATGATTTTGCACATTTTCTGCGGCGTGTACAAGTAATTTTGATAAAGTATTAGCTTGGGTTACAGAGGGCTTTCCTTACCCGGTGAAGAGTCCGTTTTACAGCACGAACGAAGACTTGAATTCACTGTAAAGACCAAAAAAGTCGAAATCGAAGTCTCTGTGTGAATGACCAGAGCTCGTAAGCGAACATGTTTGATAGGTATATCTTTGTCTATATCCTTTTATAGTGCATTATTAATTTGTTTTGTTCCGTATCTTAGATGTGAAGATAATTGTGACTCAAAAGTAAATCCCTCCCGTCGTTTAGCGCTTAAACGACTCTGCGAGGAGCTTGACTGCGGAAGGGGCCTTTCTTATCAATGGACTCTTTTTGAGGCTGGTGTGGCAAACAAGTCCAGATGGATTCAGGTCAGTGATTTACGAGAAAAAATTCGTACACGATTGACCTCGCCGAGAGTCGTTACAAACCCTGGAGTACTAAAATCCAAGATGATTTATAAATTCGTGCTAACTGCTAAACGGCGCGGAGGACATGCAGGTTACTCGGAGTACCAGTTCGCCACTTACAGCTCCCCTACTGAAGGAAAATGTGACGTCACCCCTTTGTCTGGAAGAACACTGGAGACTACCTTTACTTTTGCGTGCAGTGGCTGGGAGGATCCAGATCATCCCATGCAGTATTCCTTCATTTATTTCACCGATGATGATTTTCCCAACGTTGTACATAAAGGGATGGAGAGAAGTAAAAAAACAAAGCTTCCCGCTGGAAAAAAGATAAACAACTTTACAATCGACTTTCGTGTACGAGTGGCTGACGTATTCGGAACCTTTATCGAGGTGAAGACACCTGTTCAGGTACGGAACGAAAGCATTCAGACAATTTTATATAGAGCCACATTACTTTGACAGAGAGAAAATTTGAAACTTTACATTGCTTTACTGACGAAAGATGAGAATCGTGCGTTGATTTTACGAGCATGGTGTCTTGCAGTAGTGGTAGATTTTTGAACAGCAAATGTTGACCAATGCTTATTACCTCTTTGCGAAAAATGTGGCCACCATCTTAGTTGGGGAGGTTTGGTGGAGAAACTAATTTTTGATGCATACAGTTATGGTGGCCCCTGCAGACTGACTCCAGCTCTGAAACCGTTGTAATGCAGGCTTCACTTACATACGTGATGCGATTCAGTAATTTGCAGCCCGTCCTCTTAAAGAATAAAAAGCCAAAACTCATCAAAACGTGCAGCTTCTTCCCATTTCTTTTTGAAACATTTGATCAATGAAATGATTCTCTTGATTAAATTTCCTCTTATCTAATATCAGGTGCTGCAGCTTCAGTTAAACGCAGAAAAGCTTGTGGACCGCGCTGTTCAGTTGACAATTGGAAACCAGAGTCAGTTGAATAAATTACTTCAGTCAGGTGACTTGTCACAGGCTGTTCAGTTAGCCAAAGCAGCCATTGTGGCTGTTGACGTTGATGAAAAAATTCCTCGGGATAAGCTCAAAGAAAAGAGAAAAGCGGTAAGTACTCAATATTGGTTTTCATGAGCAGCTTCTTAAAATCTGACGGAAAACTTGCTAAATATTTACACAGAACTGTAAAACAACTTAATGTAATTATCCGCAAGTTGAAAAAAACTTGCACCGTATGAGGACTGTGCAACAATGTACACCGGAAAGGGTCTGTGATTTTGGACCGAAAAAACCTCTATAAGCAAATGAAAAATTGTCTCTGGGGTGAAATGCTGATCACGACAAGCCTTTCTAGGAGTCAGTGTCATTCGTAAACGCTATTTTGTGCAGGTTAAATCCAGTATTGTAAAACAACTGTCTGCTGTACAAGTGGAGACTGTGGAGAGAATACGACAGACATCCAAGGTTATAGCCGAGGCCCTCTCGGTTGTTAGCGAAGTTACAGCAGAAGCACAGGTAAATTTTTCTACGCACCTATTTTTTTCACAAACATTACTAGTTCGAGGGGAAAGACCATAAAGCTTTGAAGTGAAATTTTCTAATCAACTTTCAAAGCTCAATTTTGACCTGGGGAAGGTGGAGTCCTCCTTGAATGATAGTTTGTGAAATCTAGATGAACACGTAATGTGATAATGAACTCGTAATGTGATAAAGAACACGTAATGTGATAATGAACTCGTAATGTGATAAAGAACACGTAATGTGATAATGAACTTTCAGAGAACAGCAGCAGATGCCCTTCAGTCGATGACTACAGTTTTGAAAGAAGAATCCTCAGCAGGGAAAAGTTACGAGGCGCTTTTAGGCGGTGCAAGAAGTCTTGCTGCTGGTCTCGGTGGCATGCTCAAGGTGTCTTCATACTGGGCAAGAGAATACGAGTTAAGAGACACCCACCAGGTGGATTCGGCCAATGTACACCGCCAACGAAAAAGCCTTCGTTCTTTAGACCTTGCTTTCCAACAAAGATCAAAGCAATACGTTGCAGCTGAGCTGCTAAAAGCGAAGAATGAGGTATAACAGTGCGACGCTTATTATGGACGGAATTGGTTTGCTCTACAGCTTTAGAGGCAGCGGGCCCCTGCTGGGTCACAAAAAAGCGGTTGTAGTTGTTGTTCATTGTGTAAGGGAGGGAGTGGGGAGACTAAGGGCTTCCCAAATTAATGTGCTTTTTCCTTGCAATCAGCTTATATGCAGCCCTAATGAAACTTAATCCACAGACCAGTCCATTCATAAAGTAACCAAGTCATTTTCAGAGAGTTACCTCACAGGTTCAATCACTTCAATAACTCCCTGAATTGTATCAAAATTTTAATATATGTTTTGAAAATTAAATTAAATTAGCAATCGCAGCTTCAGTCAGCTGTCTTTAAGATTTATTACTCTACTTTATAGTCAAGAGGACGAGCTCTGGGCCTTTTACAGTCGCTGAAAAATGTTGGAAAAACCATCTTGTCTCGAACCTTAGTCGGTGAGAAGCCAATAGAGCTTTCATCCCAGCCTGTGTCTCTACTTATTTTCCGAGAGGAGCCTCGTTTGTTCTCAGGATCTGTTTTATCCAACCAAGACTACAGCTTCGTGCTTCCTTCAGATTCAAACGTGTTTGGCAATAGTACATTGTTTGTGGATAGCCAGGTATGGAAATGACGTCATCTGTTCTTTGACTAATTTGCAACATGTAGGCAGTCAGTCCTTTTCTTTTCCCGCCTTAGTCTCAACAGGTTATAGATATCAAGTAGAAAATAGATTTTGTGTTAAGAATCAACGAAAAAGCCGCTTTTTAATTATTTGCATTAAGTGCACATGTTGTTTACCAGAACGTTCTCATGTCAGCAGAAGATCAGAGTAATAGTAACAGCCTCTTAAGGCTTTCCTCCAGAATAATTTTTCAATTATTTTATGAATCAAGGTATCTAGGTTGAAAGTTTACTTTATGTGGAAAAGATAGATTAGTGGGCCACATTTCACAATTCCGTCTTTATTTCAGATGATCACAACAAGTTTTGTATCTTACTCGTGGCATCCTTCAGCGGCGAGGTTGACGAGTGGAGTTGCCAGCCTTGAATTTAAAAGCAGCTCTGGGCATCTCTCAAATGTGACAGAACTGATAACGCCCATGACTATCAAATTGCGCAATAATTACAATTTAATTGACACCTCTCGATCATACTCCATTGGTGCTCGTGAGACTGTGTTCCACAAGGTAAACGTCACTCACCTAGGGATAACTCTGATACTGAAGGTTCGTCCAGAAAATAACAAAACAGAATTGTTTGTGTCTCTTAAGTTTGGGAAACGACCCACTGCTAATAACAGTGATATGAACGTCACCGTCCCTAACTTCTCAACTTGCCCTCAGATGTCGTCTGGTTATGTCAACTGCTCAACTGATCCGTATAAGGTACTCGTAGACACTAAACTCATCAAAAAGACAGGCATTTACTTTATTGGAATACAAATCAAGTCAAAGGGTCCTTCTAGGAAGAGGCGGTGCTTAGGGCAAAGACGGTCAAAACGCACATGTATGCAATATAAAGAAGTGCCTGCAGCAGATGATACTAAAGCAAGGCAGTCTCCACACAATCGAATCTTTAGAAAACGCGATGAAAATTACACCATCCAAGTGATGCCAGCTGCCTGTCTCTATTGGAATACCGCAATGTCTAAATGGACATTTGATGGATGTAAGGTAAGTGAGCATTGTTGTTCAGTGTCAATGTTATCTAACCATTTGGTTAATCAAATCAAGTGCGAAACTAAGTTCATACAGACAGTTTAGTGTTTTCTTATTGACAATGGTTTGTACTATGAACAGGTGGCTGAAACAACAACCATGGACATGATTCACTGCCACTGCAACCATTTGACTGCATTTGGAGGTGAATTGTTTGTGGCACCAAACCTCATCGATTTTGACAAAGTATCCATTGAATTACAACGCATCCCAGAGACCGGAAACGTAGCTGTAATTATAACAGTGAGCTGTGTGTTTGGACTTTACTTAATGCTTATACTGTGGGTTCGGAAGGCTGACCAGGAAGATGCTTTGAAGGTAGGAGTCAGTATGTTTCTCAAGGAGTAGATGATGACCTTTTTCTACATCTTTTAAATGTGTTTAAATAAAAATCATCAAATCATCAAACAACGTTCGCGTTGTCGTTCATTGCAGATCGGCGATAAACCATTTTTGGGATCTTTATCACCCTGGTGTTGTCGATACGAGATTGAAATATCTACAGGCATTTGGTTTGATTCTGGTACCAGTGCTAAGGTGTATCTAGTGCTTGAAGGCGAAATGGACTCCAGTCGACCTTATCATTTAAAGAGCAATTCCTTCATTCCATTTGCAAGAGGAAGCTTAACGTGTTTTACCCTCTCGGTTCCGAGTAATGTTGGCCCCTTACGGAGAGTGCGCGTGTGGCATGACAACTCTGGTGAAAGCCCCTCCTGGTATTTAAACACAATCAAGATTTACGACGCGTTCAGTCAGGAGCTTAAGACTTTTACCTGTCACAAGTGGTTAGCTGTTGAGAAGGGAGACGGATTAGTAGATCGCACTCTTGCTGCTGATTCAACTGCCGGGAAGCGAAAGAATTTCTGGGAATGTTGCCGGAGTACGGTGGCCGGAAAACTCGTTAATGGGCATCTGTGGCTTTCTGTCGCAACCAGACCACCAAGTAGACGCTTCACTCGCGTGCAGCGTTTGTCTTGCTGCCTGTCACTTCTGTTGACCACAATGTTGGCCAGTGCCATGTTCTATCAGTTTGTTCCTGGGCACGTTCAGCAACAGCGTACATTTAGATTGGGCCCTCTGGTCCTAAATTTGCGACAACTAATTATTGCATTGGAGAGCGTTGTTGTAGTTTTGCCCGTAAATTTGATAATAGTAGGAATCTTCAGTCACGTGGCGACCAATTTCGACACACCAGGGCAACATCAACGAAGATACAAGGTCAGAGAAAGGTTCAGCATCCACAAGGTCACCGAGAAACATCGATACCGAAGAAGCCCTCACATAACTCTACCGTATTGCTTTGTTTACTTGGCCTGGTTCCTGTGTTTCATCTCTTCAGCTGCATCAGCGACTTTTATTATCCTATACAGTTTACATTGGGGTAAAGAGACAAGCGAGGAATGGCTTATCTCCATTGCTATGTCCTTGTTTGTGGAAATATTTGTTTCAGAACCGGTAAAGATCGTCGTCGTGGCTTTATTTTTGTCTTACTTTTGTCAGTCGGACGCTGACGAACTTGCTCAAACTCCCGGAACAGGGGTACATTTAGATGAAATTACCTTTGCTGACGGCCAAAAGGAAGATGAACACGACGAAAAAATTGCCTCACCAAAGCCCCTGAGCAAGAAAGAATTGCGCCGTGCGAAGATCTGTCGAATGCGAGAGCTGCGTATATACAAGGCGATACAGAAGATAGTCTGCTATTTTCTATACCTTTTGATTTTGATAATCATGTGTTATGGAGGTCGGAGTCGGTACAGTTATTCTCTGAAATTTTCACTGGAGCAAAAATTTGGAGAGGTGAATATGCTGCTTGCATTTTCAATTTTAGCGCGAAATGTGGTAAAAATTGAATCGCTGTCAACTTATAGTATCTTTGTGTTGATTGTCAGGAAGGGAATGAGTTCATAATAACTGTACACTGAACTGATTGATTTTCTTTGAATTTCCAGTTATGTAGATTGTCTTTTTTTAACAATGTATTGCTTCATTAGATCTTGACTCTCGAGAACATGTGGCAGTGGCTTCAAGACGTTTTGTTAACAGGAATTTACCAGGACGATGAGGACTTGGCATTTTCAAATTCTACTACGTTCACTGGAGAGGGTGATGCAGTCCTTGTTGGGATGCCCCGCCTTAGACAGCTAAGAGTGAAAAAAGGTGCGAACACATATATATCTATTATATTTCAGCAGGATGACTGGCAGTAAAATATGAACAAAGATTAAATTGTATTAGTATCACTGATTAATCAAACGGAGCACCTCAATTTATTTCTGAAGACAAATCAAAAGTCTAATTGCTATTAGACACAGTTCACCCTGCGTTTTTCCTTTTTATAACAGTTTACTGCAAAACTGCATCATCCCAGTATTTTTTAAAATTAAAAAGTGCTGTAAACCGTTAAGATTTACTTTTTTACTTTTGTTTCTTTTAGATTCATGTCGTGTCGTTAAGGAAGCGAAATCTCTATTCAACTCTTGCATCGCGTCATATTCACTAGAAGCTGAAGATAAAACGGAGTTATATCAGCCGGGATGGCTTCCACTTTTATCTTCACTAAATATCTCAACTGAAACATTGGACAAGGTCTGCCCCAGACCCTGGCGTTATTCTACAGCAGAGAAAACCGAAAGCTTACCCTTCTGGGGAAGACTTTATCCTCTTTATAGTCAGGGTGGTTACCTAGCAGAGCTAGGCTACGACAGAAAGTCTGCCACGAAGGTCATTTCTGAGCTGAACATGTTGAAATGGTTTGACAAGTACACTAGTACTGTATTGATTGAATTTGTAGTTTTCAACCCTCATGTCAGTCTGTTTAGTGCAGTTTGGATACCGGTGGAGTTCTCGCCATCTGGCTATGTGGCTTCTGGTCAAGTGATTCACCCACTTCACGTGTACAACGTTGGAGCTAGCTACAGTGTTGTTCACCTTGTTTGTCAGATATTGTTCATGTTGTTTATTGTTTACTTTGTCTTCAAAGAAACCAAAGAGATGATTCAACAACCAAAACACTACTTCCGTCGATTTCTGAATAGCATTGAAGCGGTTCAGATCTTTGTAGCAATTTCCTTTGCAGTCGTTCATATCTTTAAAGAGGTAGAACTCTCTGTTAGCACGACTAAACTTCATGAAAATGTCTTCCAGTTTATAAGCTTTGACAGAGCAGTTTTACTCGATGATATGGAGACAGCATTTTTGGCTTTATTAATGTTTTTCAACACTTTGAAGTTGCTGTATTTGTTCAGATTTAATAGTCATCTTAAACGTTTGTCTGATGTCACGAAGGCGTCTTTCCTGGAACTCGTAAACTGCTCAATAGGATTTTACGTCTTCATGTTCGCCTTCACTCATTTCGGATTCATTCAATTTGGAAGGGAGGTGGAGGACTATTCCTCACTGTCTAGTGCTTTCCAGTCCCTTCTCATCCAGGGAGTCTTGAGCGACGGGGCTGAATATCTGCAATATTGTCATGATGTCATTGGTCCTCTTTTCTTCATAGTTTTCAACATGTGTCTGCAAGTGATATGGGTTAACGTCTTCATCGCCATCCTTATTTATAATTACCGAACCGTTACGCAGTTCTCCAGAGGAAGATTTAGCTTTGGGAAATTTATGATGAGGAAAATCAAAGAGACACTGCAATGCATAGGAGACGGGAAACCACCTCATACCGGACCGGGCAACAACAGGAAGAAAAGGGTGCACTGGAAAAACGAAAACGATTCTGTTGAACTGGGTAACAACAACGACGACATCGGTAGAAGTGAAAGTGCAAATGGCAAGACCCAGAGTCCTCCTTTGAAGGAGTTAGACAAGTGCATCACCCTGATGAGTCTAAAGTTCAATGACCTCTACATTGACGAGTTTATTGAAGACATTGAGGACATCGAATTATTGAACTGGTGGGCGGACGCTTGCGCGTGTAGAAGGAATGTGTCTGAGAAGAAGAGGGCTGGTACCTTATCAGACGAAGTTGTAAAAGCGTCGGAGACCCACAGAATGAATAAACGCGCGAAAAGAGGGTGATATGGTTTGATAAGCGAAAAGTTACATCAGCAAGTCATCTGATGTGTTTGAATTTGCTTGAATTTAAAGTGTCAAGTTGTTTGGAACCAGCGTTGTGAAGTATGAACCAAATAGATGAGATTGTGTGAAACATGACTGAGAGTACTTTAAACCTCCTAACGAAGTACTAAGTCGCAAGTTCAAATAAAATACTATTTTCAAAGACTAGAGCGTTTAGTTTTATAAATAGACTACGTTCAGGCTGACTTTTATCAACCTTACTTCTTCGCATAGCATGAAAATAGCCGAAGGATTGCGTGGCTGCAATGTGAATAATAATTTCTTAACCTAAACACTTATAAGAGACCTTTAGCAATTAGGACGGCAAAGCCAAGGAAGACTTCGATTTAAAAATTAATACATATTTTTAGTTGGAATTTCGCAAATGACTGGATGTCTATCATCTCTTACGGCACCACAAGTTAACCTCATCACAACGTATGAGAGCGGCGTTGAGTTCCAAATGGAAAATTAAATAATTTGCCGTCTGGGTTCCCTCTCTCGGACCACGCAAATTCTGATGATTTCACGTTGTTATTTCGCAGAGGAAGGCTAGGAAATGTACACAGTTTTAAAACGCATGTGCTGAGCTATTGATCTGTTCCTTAGTTCTTTTGTTTTGCCACTTCCTCGTTGCCGTCGCCATCATGAATCGCTAAAGGTCCCTAAAATACGGCCATTGATGTTAGCGCTCGTGCGCTCCACTCCCAGCAGGGCGGAGAGAGGTTGGGCAATGAAACGAGTGATCCGATCTTCGTGCAATGTGAGGTGCGGAGTAGGACTGGAACAAGCGCTCTTCCGGTGCGTAATAAAGTCGGCAAACCGAAAATCTATTTTTCTTTCTGTAAATATTTTTCTAAAATGCATCATTATAAAATAAGTTTTTGACAGGCTTGCTACGCTGCTCAGTGAGTTCATGTCTGTATTAATAATTATCAATATTTCTCAGCGCAAGTTACATAAATTTTCTTTTAGTTTGAAGTTGTTAAACGTTTACTTTCGCCTCTTGACCTTTTTTTTCTATTATCAGATATAGCGATTGTTCCTAATTCTTTCCAACCCCAAATCTTACATATGTTAAAAAGCGATAACAGTTTTTACGACATATGGAAAATTCAGCTGGAAATATCTGAAGATAGCAGAGTTGTTCTCAAAACTTCGTAACTTTTGTTGAAACGCACTCGTGGATCACCACGCCATTACATATAAACAAGTTCTTTTTAGGTCTCAAAAACAATATATCCTCAACAACTTTTTAAAATTAAACAGCACTCTGCGAACAGTAGTTGTAGACTTCTTCATTCTCCGACGCGTTTCTTCTAATTGTCGTAGACTTCTTCGAGGAGTTTTACAAGATAATATTAAACGCCTGTATTTATAAGCCCTATTAAACGGCTATACGGGGGCTAATGACCATAAAGGCTTGGCCGGACATACAAAGAGGAACAGGTGAAGTTGTGGAAAATTTGAAAATTTTTGGGCAAGGTGAGGAAAATGTTTGGGGTTACGGTTTTAGCCAACTGAAAACGGTGTTCCCCTTTGGATGGAGAGTCATATGAAAGACAGTGAATGGTAAAACTAAATCAGTTAAGATACTTGATGGCAAGGATTTTAACTTAAGCATAAATATGTTCGATAATTAATTATACACGAGCTGAACGATCTGCAAAATACAAGTCATCATTGAACGAATATCAACACTTATCGTTGGCTATGCTCGATGTTCATGAACTATTTTAGTTGCTATTTCCTAAGATATTAGTTCTTACAGCCTACATGTCGAGGGAGAGAGAGATAACAAATTATCAAAACGACGAAAAAAGTGGTGCTTTTCCACCCGACAAAAAAGCCCCTTCAACCAACAAAAAATAACAGAAATTTTAGCTCCTAGAAAACAACACATGGGAGAAACGAGAAAATGCTTCCAAATTTCCGCGCGGCGACGCAACGCGCCAACATTTTTTTCGCTAAATTGTTTTGATGATGACTCGTACGAGAGACTATTGTTTGTCGATAAGAATTGTCGAAATAGTTCGATCGCGCACCTGGAGTAGGGGTTTACAGCATTATCGTGAATGCCACAACGCTTTTTAAACACGACAGGGTATCGAAATTAGGGCTGCACTTAATTTGAGGCGAGATGATAGGTAAAATTAACCAGTGTCCTCTTAACAATAAAGATTCATGTGTGTTCAATCAATGGTCTATTCTATTCTTGTGATTATTAGTTTTACAAATTTGTAAGATAATATCAGCTTCCTTCCCACTCCAACCAAATACAAAATTAGATAGTGTTGGCGCTGTTCACGAGTTTTTTTAATAGTATCAATCTCATTTTCAATAGAATTAAAAAAAAACCTGGCGCGTCAATTGCAATGAAGAGTGATAAGTCTTTTTCAGTTACAATACGCATTAATTGCAAGGTTTGACCACAGATAGGTCAAGCTCGCAGAATTAGCTTCTGTAAATATTACAAAGAAATAGTTTGGACGAGATTTCCGACGAATTATCGTGCTTCAGGTTGGAGAATTTATTATTTTTGATAACGTGCAACAGAGGGAAATAAAAAATTGAATTAACTGCTGCTTCTCATTGTCCCCAATTCTCTCATGGACTCGAAGACGGTTCAATCGATAAAGTACATTTCATGACACCCGTTAAAGATACTTATAAGCAGCCTTTTGAATACTTTGTCCTCTTTCCCTGCAAACGATAAGGTGTTCTGCCAAATTAATAGCCGAGACAGCCAAACTATCTACTTAGAATCTCCGGGTTACCCTTGGATTGTTGATCTTTGTGCCTTTTTGTCCATTACGGGCTCTAAGAGGAGTTTTGGGTGTGGCTAAAAAAAGTTGGCAGAAGAATTTATTTCAAAAGTTTACGTGTAATTAACGTGGAGAATTTCTTGTTCGTTTAGTGTACTTTAAGAGAAAACTTTGGATAAAATTTTAAGAAATTCTGCAAATCAAGCACCTTTGCACGTGATCCATTCTCGTTTGCCTTTATGTGAGCTAGAGTAGTTGAAACTGCCAACTGATAAACTGAAAAGTATTTCCTCTGAGTTTCGCTGTGGTAGCAAAGAGCTGTGTTTCTTTCATAAAGCCAATGACTGCAAAAGTCTGTGTAAGTGCAACCCAGTTCAGAAATTGACAGAAATACATTCTAATTCCTGCAATCATCTTCCTCGTTTCCTCGACAACAAAATATATAATATAAGCTACAAGTAGCAATTGGCAGGTTATGGTTACAGCACTATGGCTCCCGCCAATGTCATATATGTGCATAGTATGAATCACGTGATTAGAGGCCACCAGACCACTTGGTGAAACCTCAGTAAGGATCCAAATCACACTGAACAATTAACTTGAGAGTTAAAAACCGTGAACTTAGCAATCACAGCATTACCGACACCATGTCCAGAGCTCCTCTCTTTCACAAAAAATTTTTCCGGAGATCAGATATTTTGAGTGGATTTAAAAGTATTACCTTGGACAATTTCAGGATCTCCAAGGTTACACAGAAAAACATGCAGGGGCAAACCGCTATGGATCTAGCGCTGCAAAAGCTTTCTATTCTGGTGATTACTGGCTTGCCAACTGCCAAAGCAGGTGTGGATCCATTGCTGCGACCTTACCACACTTTCAAAGATGAATTCTCGGTGGCAGATGGCATAGTGCATAAAGGCCAGGAAGCAGTCATTCCAAGTTCAATGAGACTTGCTATGCTGGAGAAAATCCATACATTTTGGATTATGCTCCTGTTTTCGAAGAGCCAAGGTTTCCCTTCTATGGCCAGCCATAGCTTAAGATATCAAGGGTGCTCAGTTTGCTAGTCAGGCCCTAAAAGATCCCATGCTCAGCCGTGATATTCCAGACCGCTCCTGGCCTGTGGTTAGCCAAGATATGCCGGATATATCTTGACCAGATGCCACTTTCTATCCCAGATGTGGCACATGTGGGATAGAAAGTGGCATCTGGTCTCGACATGCCATTACGGTGATTGGGTCGAAATCAGTGTACTGCCCAACACACTCACTCTTATGGTAGTACCCTTAGCCAAAGTACACTTTGCAAAATGTTGGGACACCTGAGCGCCTAGTCACGGACAATGGTCCACAGTTTGTTAGCACTGACTACAAGCAATTTGCGTCTAAGTACGGTATGGAAAATGTAAACTCATCCCCATATTGGCCACAAGGAAATGACAAGGCTGAAGCCGTTGGAAAGATTGCCAAACTGATATATCAAAAGAACAAGGATATTCATTTAGCGCTCCTGGACTATAGAAACACCCAAAACAGGGACAGGAACACTCACCAGGTCAAAGACTCATATCCAGACGCACCAGAGGCATACTTCCTGTGACGCCCGAGCTTCTCCAGCCTGAAGTTGCCCATCCTGTCACAATCAGAACTGGTTGACGCACGTCGATCCAGAGCAAAACAATTATGAAAGAAATCTGTGTGGAACGGTACCAAACGAAATTCAGCCTAGTCAGTGGTTATTTGCCAAACCCAATCCTAAGCACAAGCATTCTGACAATTGTTACTCTTGCAGTCTCCTGACTATTGAAAGTTACGAGAGTGACGACTACAGTTTCAAGCCTTGAACTTAACTTGTCAAGGCGTAGCTAAGAAACAAAGGCCTCGAAACTTATTGTTTCATCTATTGTTTCTGATATCACACTTAAAGCGCGTATTTCAAGCTGGCTATGCGTTGTATTTTTAAAGTCATTTACGTTCAATTTTTTAAAAAGCCACAACACTTTCATCTCTCGCTACAACCTAAACAACATGCATTTCGCTTCATATCAAGCCTACCACAGTCTGATAAACAACGGGTGTTTCTATTATTTATCGCTTAGGATTCGATTGTCTCATCGAAAAATTACTTACATCATAAATGAAGGACGAAATAAAGTCTTTGAATCGCTCTAACGCAAGTTTTTCCGAATCGACGAAAGGAAAAAAAACTACGAAGTAGAACAGAGGAACAAATGCGCTATTTTAGGATTACAGTTTCCTTCGAGCTTTTTAATGATAATTCTATCCCTGGACTGGAACTGATCATCAGCATACTTTTCTTGATGCCTAAACACTTGTTCCCAAGCCGAACATTATTTCGCGGTATTTATTCCCATTCCATGCAGTAGCTATCTCATCTGACTGCATCCGATTGCGCTTTTTTCGATCGTGGTGGGAGGCTCGTAAACCCCCCGTTGAAGACAATCGGGGGTTCAGTGAGCTCTGAAGAGAGCTCCCGATCGCATACAGATTACTGGGCGAACGGGGATTCAGTGAGCTCTGAAAAGAGCTCCCGGTCGCATTCAGATTGCCGAGCGATCGGGGATTCAGTGAGCTCTGAAAAGAGCTCCCGATCGCCTACAGATTGCTGGTCAACGCGCGCCATCATGACTTAACTTAAATGAAGGTTTGACAGCTGATACACATAGCAGCTTTAAAATTCGCGGCAGCTGTGAATAATTTTACAAGCGAATGAGTTTCAGCAATGGGCATTGTTTAGTTTGACAGGTGTATTGTTATTCATGGTAGGCTAAAGACAATGGCCCCCTCACCTAAAAAGCGCCATTTTTTTCAAACTGAAATGGATAAAGGTTCCGATCGGCCAATTTTCAAACTTAAAACGGATTCTGTGAGAATAAAGATTAATCTTTTATTTGCCGCGCGTTGATTGTGCAAGGGTAGTAAGGGTTTTCAGAAAATCGCTCCAGAAAATTACTTCCATACTAAAAATATCCGAACTTGGTGCATTTTCAAGTTTCAAAGGATAATACTTCTACTTCGTAAAAATCGTTAACTTTAGGTGCAAATTGTAGATACATCTTTAATCTTCAAAAAGCGGTGCGTTGATTTAGAAGCAAACACTTTCAAATCTCAGAAAAGTGAGTTTTACGAAGCCTGGTTGGCCAATTTTGGCCCATTCTTCTCTAATTTAGGGCTCCTAAAAGCCAGATCGCCTTCAAACTTGGTTATGAATAGTTCATGATGTCCACCCATTCTGCCCCAATTTTTTTTTTCGCTTTTCTAGGTCAGTCAGTGAGTGACCTAGAAAAGCGATAACAAAAAAATTGTCAAGAAAAAATATTACCCTAGCCCGCGCGCCAACATTGAGTAAAAACCCCTCTGGCGCCTCTATAAGGATTTTAAAATACCTGCTGCATCTCTTCGATCCCTTGCTGTGTTTGTAAGTCCTATTCCTCCAGAGCTCTCTGCTGACTCATTTATGATGTACATGGTATAAGCCCTCAAGCCCGTCTGCGTTGTGTTATTTATCGAGTAATCTATTTTTTACAAATTGCTCTCCAAACCACTCCCTAATTCAGTCTAGTAATATGTGAAACTGAAATAAAGAGGTTTCCTTGAAGATCTTTTTCTGCCATGTGACTCCATTTCACTATCAAGCTAATGGAGCTCTTGCAGTAAGCGGTTATTTAATCAGAAGCACTAGAGGTTTGAGTACATTCAGAAAAATCATCTACTCGATTACTGAAATATATTTATATGTTTCTGGACACATCTGAATAGAGAGATCAGATGTAAAGAATTCAATGCCACACCTAGACACAATATAAATGACTTGAAAATGACTTTTGTCCCTAACTTGTTTAACTTCGCTATTGTTTCGAAAGAATGATAGATGAGGCTTTCTCTTGGAAAGCTACAAGTCTCACAATATTTTTATCCAATTTCAAATCTCGTTAGCTTTTGTGAATCTCGAAATTTACCATTTCTCTCAAAGTCTATTAGCTTGGCATTTTTCATATGTCTGAGAGTCTAAAGGCAAACAAGCTTGGAATTATATTTGTAAGCGACGGAAGTCTAATCAAATTGTGTTCCCTTTCTTGTTCCTCCCTTGAGGTGAATCCTCAGATAAAAAATTATCCAAAAATTTTTCTTAAACTTTTTAATTAAATGTTCCCTACCAATGTCTGTTCCGAAAAATAAAATAAAAAAGATAGGTCACCGTGCTCGTTCAAGCCCCAAAGGCCATTGTAACTCTTTATCTGGTCCATGATTGAAAAACATTACCGTTTTCTTGCGCGCCCCTTATTCGCCTGATAACGAGTTTTTTTTAAAGAGAAATACAAGATGCGCAGTTCTATATTGAGGAATCATCCTAGGAGTCACTGGATTAGAATCTTCTCCTTTTTATAATATTTTGATTGCCTTTTTTGTTCTCCTCTTTTTCTTCAATCCGTTTAAGGGGGCCGGAAGTTCAGGGCCTCCTCCTCCATAGTTATCAGACGTATTGGTTTTTTTTTAACTCTTGGTTGACACTAAAATGCTTGCAACGACCGTGTCGTATTAGACTCCTCACCTGACCGAGTCTGTGCAGCAGAGCTGATTTGCTGCAAGTACGCCCATACTTGATTGTCTAAGCAATTAATTACTTTAATAAGTTAAATTTACGCCTGTTTAGATGAAGTCGAACTATTGATTTAAAAAAAAAAAAGAGAAAAAAGCAAGATGTGACATATGGCTCCTTTAAGTATGAATTCCTCTCCCTTTTCGCACCAGTTTGGTATCATTTTCACGGTCATAACCTAGGGAACTATAGAACGTTTTCACACGACGTCACGATGGCCATATTGGTTACTGACCGAGACGACAGACTGACGGCCATGTTAGTACTGCACCGGGAGACATATAAAAGACCACCTTTTTTTTTTTACAGAAGCACCGATGGTGCATTGATTCAGGAGGTGAATAAATCAATTGTTCAGAAACACTAGCGTTATGTGCTCGAAATTTGATCATTGAGCACCAGGCAGAGTTGTAGATATTTCATGCCCTACTTATAATTTGTGAATATATTCACATCACAAATTAAAGAAGATAACCCCGTAATGATCAGTGTTCGTTCAGCAGCGATAGACAAAAACTAGTATCTACCATGCTTACGAGAGCTTCAACACTTTCGAATGACGTTTTCTGTTTTACGCAAGCCTCACACCTAGTCATAATCATGCAGAAAAATAACCATTTCAGTGGGGAACTACACTTTCTTCATCTGATCCTTGATCTTGTCCCGAACTCTGAATAAATCCCATGAACGCAATCAGGCAGCAATTACAAGTTACATGAATACCACTTTCCAGTTAACGTATTTAATACAATCCAACGGATTAATGAACAGGCACACCTACAACTTTAAATAACAGGTAGCGGTAAATCTGGTAAATAGAATTATCCACCCGCTGAAGAATGTTTAAAAGAATAACCACATAAAAATGACATAAGAATGGTATTAGTTAATTGCCGCAAAAATTGAAACTGAGCAAGTGATTAAATTCAAGATGGCCTATCAAGTCTAATTGATGATGAGCCAAAGAAGTTGTCGCAATCGTAAAAGTTTAACTACAGAAAAAACTTAATGCTGCTAAAGCAACCATTAAAATGATGATGTAAAATCTAATTTTGGGTATACTTGAAAGTAGCCCTTAATGACAATGTGCTACGGAAGAAAAATGACTGAAATTGTTCCAAAGTTAATGTAATATTGATATCTCCTTCATAACTTTCAAGGTCAATTTAATGTTTTCTTTTTCTGTAAGTGCTCTTTTAGGTGAGCCCTTTATCACTTGCTCATCTAACACAAGGAGGTAATATCTCATTCTTGATATGCATCCACCCAATCTTCTTCTACGACATCCTCAAAACTTTCTTGAGCATCGACCCAATTTTCTTGTAAATCCTTGGATTTCTTAGCTTGCATGCGAAGATCAAACCACATAGAAAACAGTTCAAGGTCTTCACAAAATTCGTCGGCGTAATGAATATTTAAAAGATGGTTAATCCGATCCAGCCTCGCCAATATCTCTGCTGCCTGAGGAAGAATATCTTCCTCGATCTCTGTGCTCGGTAGATCATGCCCAGAAATGTCTTCATTCGCTCCCTGACGGTCGCCCCCGCAACCCAGTAGTTCTTTTATTTTCACAAACATGAAATGTCCAAGATCAAATTTCCCTCTAGAGAGTTCCCTGATGCGGCCATAATTATAAACAAGGATACAAACGAAAATGTTGATGCATATAAGATTCACTGCCACTTTTATCGCCGTAAAGTAAGCTGGGCCAACGACTGTACAGCAATCATAAAAGTAGCTGAAACCGCCACCAACGACTCCTTCGACTAGAAGAAACTGTAAAATGATGAAAGGCGAAGAAAAGGAGTAAAGTTCGCTCCCAAACAGAATGTATCCTACATGAATACATCCAAACATGAAGACAGCGAATACAACCGAACACTGAACGAGTTCCCGAGTAGATACTTTCATTACATAAAATAAATGCCTCACGTGGGAATTCAATTTGAGCAAATAAAGTAACTTCAAAGTGTTCAAAAACATCAGTAACGATACTAATAGCGTTTCCAGGTCTTGCAGAAGAATGCCTTTATTAAAACTGATAAACTGAAAAGTATTTTCTCTGAGTTTCGCTGTGGTAGCAAAGAGCTGTGTTTCTTTCATAATGTGAGAAATGAGAAAGCCAATGACTGCAAAAGTCTGCGTAAGTTCAACCCAGTTTAAAAACTGAGAGAAATAAATTCTAATTCCCGCAATCATTTTCCTCGTTTCCGTAACAACAAAGTATATAATATAAGCCACTAGTAACATCTGGCACGTTATGGTTACAGCACTGTAGCCCCCGCCAATGTCATATATGTGCATAGTATGAATCACGTGATTAGAGACCACGAGACCACTTGGTGAAAATTCAGTAAGGATCCAAATCACGCTGAACAAATTTACTTGAGAGTTAAAAACCGTGAACTCAAAAATTATAGCGCTGGTAAACCTGTCAGTCCAGTTAAACAGGTTGAGTTCAGAGATGACTTTGAGTGCTGTAGTTTTGTCATAGCCCAACTCAGCCAGATAACCTCCTTCGCCATAAAAGTTTAACAGATGAAGTTTTCCCCATAGAGGAAGACTTGATGTTTCTTGGGCAGACGAATAATGCCAAGCACTTGGACAGACACGATGAGGACTAATGAGTGACTCATTCTTGGATGAGGAAAATAGACGCCATCTCGTTTCATGGAAGCTGGCTTTGTCCTCGTTACTGAATGTATATGAAACCACACATGAATTGAACTGGGTGGTCAGTTCCTCTATGCCGATGTCACAAGGACCTGGGAGAGAAAAATTTGTGTTGCCATTGTGATAGTGGACATACCGTACATGAATTGTGTCATTATTTTATGCAACTATCATGATAAATGAAGTTTTGTTCCCGCCTCAAAAGAAAGTGGGTAAATGGGTTTTAAGTAACCTTAATGAAGGGCAATTTTTTCTTTCTTTTTATTTACTTAGCAATTAATCAAATCAAATTCATAAACCTTCCGATGGCTCACCCGAAGGGTAAGTCTTAGGCTAGTCTCTGTCACCACTATCATTCCAATACTCCAGCCTTTATGAGAAGTTGGTTTTGGGGAGTTTTCACACAACTTAAAACTTGGGATTTGCTTCGTGGAATATTGAGGGAGCGTTTACAGCTGACCATTAAATCGGTCTTGTCGACGCAGTTAACACAAGCAGCATTTTTTGGTCTACGTTGATACAATTTCTTAAAAATACCTTCTTTGACTCGTAGCTGCCTTAAACGAGGCATCCCAACGAGAACAGCGTCGCCATCTCCAATGTAAGGACTGGAACTATTCAGTGTGAAGTATTTTCCATCCTCAAAAAGCCCTGGTACCAAAACGTCACGTACCCAGTCCCATGTATTGAAGTGATTTGAAATCTACATGATTCGGTGGGACAAATAAAAAATGTATATAAATGTTTAAATAAAAAAAACAAAGATATAAAAATATTTAAACATAAAAATATATAAATAAAGAAATAACTATAAATCGTATGAAGTAAACTGAATAACAAGTGCGTTGACATTAATCGTTGCCTGTAAGAGATTCTCCTTGCTCCGTCTGAGCACTAATCACATGCCCTCTGAGTTAGGACTATACGGCCGATGATATCTCGTTGTTCAATCGCAAAGTAAAGGAAAAATAAATGCATCGTAAATGAGGGCGTGTCTTTTTTTTTTTTAACGATAGCTTTGATTTCTTCGGCGCCTATTCGACGTTTTGGTATATAAAAAAACTGTAACCTCCCTAAGTCTGCTATCATTATGGTGTTATTACATCCTTTCGTATCAATGTAGGCAGCTGTGAGACAATAAGATCACCCAATTCACTTACCACATCAAGCTCTCCAAATGTATTCCTCATGGATGATGTCATCAGGTACCCATGCTTGCTGCGCCCACCGTAGCAAACAATCATAAGAATCAATAAGTAAAGCATGTAGGATCCTATTTTCCGAAAAGCTGAATATGTTAGTATCTCTCTTATTCGACTTTTCCTTGCGCGACGTTGCTGTTTCTTACTTAGAGGCTTTGGTATTTCAACTTCTTCCTCTTCGGCCTCATCATCTCCTAGCCCGCCAACTTTAATATCTTTAAGATCAACCTCGGGGTCGACAGAGCGAGGCATCCACGTAGATCTGTCAGTTTCTTCTTTAAAAATATGAGGCAGTATGAAGGCAACTACGATGATTTGAATAGGTTCTACTACAAATATGTCCGCAAAAATTGATATTACAACCGAAGCCAGCCATTGCTCACTTGTATCTGCACCCCACTGTAGACTGTAGAAGAGAACAAAAGCCGCCGCACAAGTTGAGAGGAGGAAACACAAAAGCCAAGGAATGAATATAAACCAGTGTGGAAAAGAGAAATATTTTTTTCCTGCATTAGCTTTGAGAGTCATTTGTTTATTCTCATCTGACGATCGAGTATGGGCAAAAAGTTCTACAGTCAAAACATAGGTGGGAAAAATGACGATAAGGCTCTGAACTCCAATGATGAATCCTTTAAGGTTTACATCAAAACGACCCATTCTGAGAGATCCTTGAGTGTCGTCGTCAGCTCCGTGCTGGTAAAACATAGCACTTGCCAGCATTGATGTTAGCATTAGTGCCAGACAGCAAGACAAACGTTGAACGCGAGTAAACCTATACCTTGGTGGTCTTGTTGCTACAGAAAGCCAAACGTGTGAGTCACTGAATTCTTCCGCAATTTTATTTTGAACATATACTGAAGAGTCGATTCCTTCATCGGTCGCGGAAGTACAATGAAGGGTGCGGTCTATCAATCCTTCACCCTTGTCAACCGCCAGCCACGCAAAACACATAAAGTTCCATTGCTTCTTAACGGATAGATCGCAGACCTTGATGTGGTTCAAAAACCACGATGGATTGGTGCCCGAGTTGTCATGCCATACGCGAACAGTTCTTATGGGGCCTGTGCCGTCAGGAATTGAAAGAATAAAGGAAATAATACTGCCTCTTGCAAAGGGGATGCAAGCGTCGTGCTTTAAATGGAACGGTCTACTGGCACCTGACTCTCCTTCCAATATAATAAAAACGTTAGCAGTAGTGCCCGAGTTGCGCCAAATGCCCGTAGATACTTGAATCTCGACGAAGTAAGACAAAGGCGAAGGAACTCCTAGGAGTGCACTCTCGCTCACCTATAAGAAGATCAATGAGGAAAACTCGTTAAACTTTGCTCAAAGTGAACACAAACTGTAACTGTTACAAAAAGGAAATAAATTGAGTTTTAGAGAAAAAATTGCTTATTTGTTACCGAATCTCAGAAGGTGCAAGTAGGCAATATACAAGTCCATGATCAGCTTCTACTTGACTTCAGAAATTTTGTTTCTTTAAAAGAATTAGCTCTCCGAAGGGTTTCTTATACTATTCTTACCACAGCTTGATTCAACTATCAATGAATCACAGCTTGGCGTAGAATTTCCACGGTATTCCATATTGTCCGCATGATCTTTCCTATTTTCTTTCATTACTCCTCTTTTTTTTAGAGACAATTCGGAGAATGTAAAACACTGCGGATGATTTCCTTGCCATAACACAGGGCTTACTCTTATCACTAGAAATTTATAAGATGAATAAGCGAGAACCAATCTCATTATATCAACTTTAGAGCATTATAGCATGTTTGTCCATGGTACATTGATAATCATTAGGCGTTATATTCTTACCTTCATGAGATCTTGTTTGTCATTCTTTCGAGCCCATATCAACAGCACCAGATAAAGCCAAAACACACAGCTAATAGCTATGATAACAGCTATGTATCCACTATCTGGTACACTGGTCAATTGGATGAAAACTTCATCAAAATCGATGGGAGTGGGCGCCACAAGTAACTGACCTCCAAAAGCACTCAGATGATTACAAGAGCAATAAATAGAATCTTGAGTTGTCCTCTCGGTGACCTGCGAGTAAGTAGTGTATATCACCCACAAGATCAAGGGCAAATGATAGAGCATGATTGTATGTTTTAAGCTCTGTATTTAAGAGGAGACTAAAATACTAAAAAAAGACAGGAAAAAACCATTTAAAACATGTTTACACTAAGTATAACACCGTTTAGTAAATAGTTAACAATAACGGTTATTATAACTTATCTCACCCTGCATCCCTCTGTTGTCCACTGGGATATTTCCACGTTCCAGAAAAGACAAGCAGCTGGCATCACCTGAATGGTATAATTTTCATCACCTTCATGGTAGTGCGGTACGCTGTAACTTGCACCCTTAGTGGGCGGTTCCTTGTACTGCACACAGGACCGCTTTGAGCAACGCCTAACTCGAGAGATCGCAGAAACTCGTGACACGGCTTTTAATCCAACGAAGTAGAATCCAACACCTTTCTTCTGGACGAATTCCTGGGTCAGAAACACCATATATGGATCGCGTGAGCAATTAAGGTATCCATCTGGCATACCATCGCAAGATGAAAGGTCAGGTATTGTAACATTTAAGTCGCTATTACTTGGCAACGGTCGCTCTCCGTACTTAACAGTTACCAGAAACTCTGTCTTGTTGCTTTCCGGACGAATCTTTAGCATCAAAGCCATCCCTGATTGAGTGACATTTATCTTGTAGAAAGTAGTTCTGTTGGCTTTAATGTAATGAGACTGAGATGTGTTTTTGAAGACCTGGAGGTTCTGAAGTTTAATAGTAACATTCAGTTCTGTCGCACTCAACAGATGTCCCGAACTGTTCCTAAGTTCAAGGCTTGAAACAGCAGTTGTCACTCTTGCTCCTGTGAGGTCCCAAGAGAAAGGTATAAAGTCTGCTGTAACCATCTGTAGACGTAGATAAAAGATTAAAAAAATGCATTTTACACGGCAGTCATTTCAGTGCGTTCGGGGCGAATTACAAAAAATGTCTAATTCTCCTAATCATTACCTCTTTCTCCGTAGTTGCCCGAGTATTATGCTTTGACAGTTCGCAAAGATAATATTCTGCTTTCTCAAAAGACAGGGAGTGTGTTTAAAGTTCACTAAGTCATGCAATCTTGCGAAGTGTCGTCAATTTCTGGTGACCGAATTATGGTTTTGGGTAGTCAAATGGCGAATCTGAAAAAAGTGGACCTTAGAGCGCAGAGAGAAAGTACATATATTGATTAATCTACCCACTGAGTGTATTGTCCTTTCGTTACCATCACCACAATAAGTTAGAAGTAACAACTAGGTAGCCTCGTGGAACATGTCAAGAGTATAATTATGGAGGATTTCCTGGTAAGCCAAAACTTCTAAAATTTTAATAAGAGGTGTAACACTGTGTACTAAAACAAATGGCAGCGAAATGTTTACGATGAAGTTGTGCCCTCTTCCATTCAATAGTTCTTATACCTACCCGGCTATCTACAAAGGGGGTATCATTGTCTAACTGGAAGGGTAATGAAGTAAACTGAAAACTGTTTCCTTTGTTTGACAGAACAGTCCCAGCGAGCAACTTGGGCTCCTCTCGGAACACTAACAGAGACATGGCCTGCGCTGAAAGCTCTTTCGGCTCCTCGCCAACGAGAGTTCGGGACAGGATCGTGCTTCCGATATCCTTCAAACAATGGAGTATACTTTCAACATGGATACGGGCCTGAAACAAAAATATCCATAAAACAGTGTTGCGGTCACCATTAGTGAGAACTTTTAATTGCTTTTTAATTGCTAGAAAGCGACCAAAAACTTAGCAGGCAAGATTTGAGCGCTGCTTTAAGAAAAAGTTCGATTTGCCACAGATAGAAACTCCACTCGGAAAAGGAGAAAAAAGACTCTGGCTAAAAGAAGTTCTTTGTTGTGGAAAACAGCGGAGTTGGACTACGGATTTATAACGCGTTTGATAGCCCTCACTATTAATTATATTCATTTTTTCAGATCTATTGTTTAGATAAGTTTTGAACTTTTTTTTTCCTGAACGGTTCTTCACCTGTAGTTGCGCGTCCTTAGCGTCTCTCTCGATCCTTCTGGTCCATGACAAAGGAGAAGTTATTGACCTAAATGTTACCCTACGACTCTTACGTGAGAGTCGTTCATAAGCATCTACGAAGCTGGCTTTGATCTGAAAATTCCCCTGTAATTTTGAATCGTATACTCTAGCTCCACGTGCTGCTACCCTAAGCATGCTACCGAGACCATTTACTAGACTTTTTGCACCATCATAAAGCGAGTCATAACTTTCCCCAGCAGTACTCTCCGCCTTTAACACTGAAGTCATCTTTTTAAGCGCATTCGTCGCATCTCTCTGAAAAAAGTTCAAAGGATCAGAAAATAAACGGTTTGCCACTAATTACAGCTAAAAAAAATTGGTCCTAGTTAACCAACAAAGCATTTCTTGGTTAATAAATTACCTGTGCTTTGACGGTAACCTCGTCTATGACCGAACTGGCGGAGGCAATCACATTCGACACCTGCTGAACTCTGATGATAGTCTCTGCCGGGATAGCTGATATGTTTTCTATGATGTCTGATTTCATCTATAACAATTGCAAAAAGAGTAGAGGTGAACTGGGGTACTCAAACCATACTGAAAAGTTAGAACTAGATTGACCCCCTCTGCCATCTATTTGCATTTATCCTATTTGTGAGCACAATTTGATACTCCATTAGAAGCATTTCCATGTGTTAGCATGGTCACGAGGACACTTTGCTACGAGAAGGTAAAATCTGTGCACAAGTCAATTCAATCAAACTAGCCTTGAAAACTGAAGCCTATCAGACTATCGGATACCTCCAAATGGTTTCGGTGGAGAGAACTACTGTACGAGTGTAGTGTTGTTGGCGGCAAACCCACCCCAACTTAGGACTCTGACAAGAATAAAATTTCTAAAACTTTTAATGGTTAGACCTCGAGCCAGATACAATTCAGAGGGTTTTCAGGAGAGGTTTCACTGAAAGTGTTTCAGTGTAGAAAACCTTTACCGCACTCCGCCTTTCTGCCAGCTCATAGGCCTCACTTTCCATCAATTTCTCATTCGCAATGAAATGAATGACCGAAATGGCTGCTGCCGTCAATTGTAGAGCACGTGACACGTCACCCGACTGAATCAGATAATTCAGTTCACTCTCATCTCCAGTTGTGAGGTTTTTGACGATGTCTAGGAGGTTTTCTTGTTCAACGCTGGGTTCTAAAACCTATAATGAAAATGAAGATGGCAGTCTACAGACATTTTTCATGGGCTACATCTTATTGTGATAGACGGTGTAGACTGCAATAAAAATCATGGAAAAAGGTGGCAATTAATGTGTAACGCTGTTTCTTTGCTGCTACCGTTTCATACCTGCACAGGAGTCCTCACTTCAGTGTATGCTCCCAAAATGTCAACCACGCGCACTCGAAAGTCGATAGTAAAGTTATTTTTCCTCTCTCCAGCAGGAAGGTTGGTTGATAACCTACTTTTTACTCCTTCGTATGCCACACTGAGAAGATTGTTATTTGTAAGGTAAATGAATTGATACTGCAACTCCAAGTCTGGATCCTGCCAATTCATACACACAAAAGTGAACTCTGTTGTTAAAGTGGCACCTGATGTTGGGCTCACACTACACACTCCTCCAACAGGGGGGCTGTTTGAGGTGACGTGGTACTCTGAATAACCGCAGGATCCACCGGGTCGTTGTGCCGTCAATATAAACTTAAACCTGGTATCAGGTGTCAGCACTCCAGGCCTGGTTACGAGAGATTTTGATGAAACTCGAGTGCTTATCAACTCTTGTGTTTCCAAAACCTCAGTCCACTGAGAACTGTTGGAAGAGTTATTCGAGTCTTTTAAAACTGTCCACTTGAAGATAAGGTTACGATGACATGAGGCACCTGTACACATGCCTTGCAAAGCCATTCTCCCAGACGGGTTCAGTTTAGTATCGCAGTTTTCAACACATCTGTAGGTCATTTAAGTAATGCAGTTGGAAAAGATCATTTCGAAACTCATCAAAACTAAATTCTAAACTTTAACAAGAATGAAGTCTACTGTTGAACCTGGACTTGCGGCTGCCCTCCTTTCTGATCAGTTTTTCCTTTGTCCCAAGTTTAATTCACTGAATAGAATTTCTGATAACATGCCAATAATAAAATTGGACGTTTCTGATGAACAGATATGTACAGTGCTCGCCAAGTTTTTCTAGTTTGCTTACATTTATCATAATAAACGGCTTGAACCCGGGGGTAACATATAAAAGCATTGTATAATCGCACGCGTAAGTGTGGTCCTGAAAAGGACTGTAATCAGTAGTAATGACTGACGTCAGTGTACAGTCAGACTGCACTAGGTGTAGTGTATCTTCCGTTTGAAATTAAGGCCTTATTCTACCAATAAACCACGATCTGCTTTAGGAAAACTGTCGCTGTTGCGCTAAAAGCTTTATCGACGTCTGGTTTAAGTTAATTTAACGAAGATACGATTGTTAACTACAGACGAAGTTCAAGCACCTGGTTCCTTACGTTTCAGTTACCTGATTTGCACTTCCGGTGGGTCACCAGGAACGATAAACACTTCTTGAGTGTACTCAGCTTTCCTTTCATCCTTTGTAACCAAAACTGTTATGAAGTATGAGGTGTTTTCTGCAATAAGACTGTTGTTCAATCTAAGTTCATGTTCAACAGATTCTTTATTATTAGCCCTGTAGTAACATCCTGCTTCATCTGAATTATTAACATCCAGAGGTGACTCTTGTCCACATAACCATGTAAAACTCAGGCCTAAAATTGCACAACAAACCAAGGCATGAGAGAACTTCCGCCAATAGCAGTCAGTTTGACTGCTAAGATAGTCAGTCAATCAGTAAGTCGGCCTCGCGTAAATTATGCCGTGTCCTATCTATAATTTTTTTTTGCTTTGGAAAATTTTGTCAACAGACATAAAACGTATTCGGTTACTAACCTGAATATTGTCGACTCTCCTCATCGGGATCGTACGACAAAGATGCATCAAAAATCAATGTTTTATTTAGTCCTCTGGCCACTTTGCTTCCACCTGCTATGAACGCAACTAAAGGGCTACTCACTACCTGGAAATAACCCAGACTGACCCCGAACACAGGTGTTCCTATCATGCTGACGGTGAGTTGAACCAAAAAAATTCCAACTGGCAGCGAGCACGGTGTAATCTGCAGTTCTGAGGAGCTATTTCTTGAAATTAATAGAATATTTTCTCCACCAAATTGATAAACACGCCAAAGGAACGTCGTTACGTGGGACAACTTACAATTCAGTCTGACTTCAGAACGGATGATAAAACGTCTTGATCTGTAAATGCTCAAATCTGAAGAAGCATTTGGTAAGATATTTAGCAGGTCAACATCCGGGCTATGACATGGAATTTCTGATAGGAGAAAAAAAAAGGTTTCAATGTTTCCTAGATCCCCATCACTGTGATTTCTGGAGGTAGCTTATGCCACAACCTCCTACAGTTCGAACATACCGTTTATGACATACAATTTATGACCAGGAACTAAATTTGCCAAAAAGGAAAACTGGGTGGGTGGGTGGGTGAGTGGGAGGAAGCACCAATGACTTATGCGGTCACTTCATTATCTTGGTGACCTGACTTTCACTTTGCAGTGAAACCACTTGGTTGTGCTGCGTGGTTTCACTCAAGATTTTTAACAGTTGCTGACGTCATTTCTATGATCGATAAAGGTAAAGACAATCGAAAAGTGTGGTCGATTTGTAAAACACCCTATCATTGACAATAAATGCACATGTAAGATATATACTTAACTTACCACTCATAAAGACGGAACAAAATTCACCAGTGAAATTTACGGCACATTTACAGTAGAGTGGACTGACTGCCTGGTTTCCCCGCTTAACAATACATGTTCCTCCATGAAGACATGGATCAGAAGCACAAGGATCATCTATAGAGCAATGTAAAACAATCCATCAATGTCAATTTGAGGAAAGTTCTAGAGTTTAAACTCAATATCTGATGCACATTATCAAATTTACCTTACTTACAAGAGACCATTATATACTTGTGTGTTTAACTAGTTGAAAAGACTGTGAACATAAGTCAGGGATTAAACTAACAGCCGTCTGCCGCCGGCAGCCGGAACTTCTAACACACTCGCGTAAACGGGTATAAAGTTTCGAAATTTGAAGCATGCCACAGGGAGTACATGGCGTGAAATTAACTTTTTTTTTTGATAGCCACTTGGCTCCTAAATTCTTCAAAGTGGTAGCCAATTCAAAAAAAGTTGGTCGCCATTTTCAAAGACAAACAAAATCTTTCTTTGCGCTGTCAGTGTTCTAGATAGACCCTCCAAAATAAGTTAGGGAAAAGATCTTTAACGTGCTACAAAGTGGACACTAGGATGGATGATATACAACGTTCAGGCTCATCTAAATCCAAGATGGCGTCTAGTTATCTATCGAGATGCATGTGCTACGTTTTGGAAACAAAGTTAACGAGGAAGTTTGCCGCGGATTTATCTTTGCAAATCTTTTTAATTCACTATATCTCTTGGTAAGGTTATGATGAAACGTTCTAGTCGCCAATTTGGCGACTAACTTTCAGGATTTGGTCGCCAAAGTGAAAAATTTAGGCGCATTGGCGCCTGTATTAGGCGCAATTTCACGCCCTGGTGTATTTTTGTTTACGTTATTCAGCTTTCTACGTATTTGCTCAAGCGTGAAACATGCAAGTTTGTGTACACGCCGTCACATTACCGTGTTTATCTTTCTGCACGTACGCACTACCTTTAATCAAAATTTATTTTCCGCCAAATCCTGTTTAATGTTGTTTGTAAAGCCTTCTCACGCGTTCAAATTAAAGTCGGTGCTTGACAGAGCGGATTTGCCATGACTGTGAGTGAAGAAGCGCAACAGTTTGTCTAGACAAAGTTGTATATTTCACACGTGAACAAACACCGAAAATTTTTAGCCGTTTTCGTACGCATTCAATGTTTAATTCCTTTCAGTACTGTTAATAAATTAAGTTGAGTGTTGAAGACACGTGCTGACATGCCACTCATCCTTATCAATGCTGAAATCCAGCTGAGACTGCAATGTTTTTGTCACACTTGCAATTGCCGTCATACAAATACTGTATTGCCCTTTCTCCTGTCCAGAGGATTCTGACCCATTTGCTTCTGGAGAGCATTTTGAAGTGGGAGACAAGACATATATGTTATTCACCAGCCAGGGGGGCTGCATTGGGAAACACTGTGCCTGAGTCATTGCATGGATACCACCTGAGGCAGTAGGCTGAGGGAGGAATCAAGACAGAGCACACAGTTTTTCCCAATACGGACCTACCTATGATGGTGAATAACATTTTATTTTTGTAAAAAAGAACCTGAATGACTTAATATGGCTATAATTACAGCACGAAAAAACAGAGGTAATTAAAATTAAAGAGAGATGCTTCACCAAAAACATTTTTGTTTATGTAATGGTACAGTTGATTTAAAAGGCTTCCATGCAAACCTTACCACATTTTTTATAAGAATCTGTCAGAATCTGACACCTGTCAATTAGAAAGCAAAAAAAAAAAAAAAAAAAAAGAGCACATGTACCCTTTTGAATGAAAAACTGCAGTACTTATCATCAATACGATGTTTTCTTCAATTATCCCATGTGGGAGTGGAATTACTGAATGCTGATTGGCTGAGATGGAGGGCATTTTTTTGTTAATCACTAAGGTATTTTTGGTAATCAACAGGGCATGATTACTTGATGCTGATTAAGCCTTTTTGCTGTTTGTGGCAACGATAAATTGATTGCAATTTAACTGAATGATGCAAACCCTTCTTAACTGTATTTTGCGAATAAACTGTTAATTGAATCTATTGGCCAGTTACATTTGTTTTGACATTTATGGTGGCATCAAAAGGGCTTCATCGCATGGATATAAATTTGTGCATGATTGTAATTCCCTCAAAAATTTTGCCCTTTATGTGACAAACAAGTAGTTGCAGGTGCCCTAAGGCAATTAAAGAGTAATTTCACCTGTATATGTAAAAACTTTGAAAATACATGAGAAATTTATCCCTTTCTGCCCTCAGGTCCATGTAATTACATAATTATACAAACAGTCACTGATCTTATACAGAAATTGTTATTCATTTCTAACAATAATCAATCTCCTAAGATTTATCTCTGTTCAGTTTTAAAAGGCAAGGAAAGTCAATGTAAGTGCAATCAAATGCATGTTCTGAATTAAGTTTTGGAAGTCTGTTTGCCTGTCTGCTACATTATGGCATGTGTATTGTAATGTTGTAGTTCTTCCACTGAAAAACTAAAGTCAAATGAGGCACTCTTTCGTGCTTGACACAAGGGGATGTATGGGGTTTTTAATCATTGAATTCCTTCACTCAGTATTGTGTAATTTATGCTGGAAAGACAAAATTCAAGGGACTTGCAAAGACTCAGTGAAAATGTTTTTGTAGTGGAATTCATAACTTCACTTGGTGTTTCCCAACAAACATAGTTGTCTTTTCCTTGAAGTATGTTTCCCTCTGCAGGATAATAAAATTTTCTTTTACATAAAATGATAGTTTAAGTTATCTGAACCCATTACTGTGAGTCACTTGTTTCAATAGTCAAATCTTTAAGCCTCTCTCCTCAAAAGATTGAAAAGTGCAAACTGCAAAACTCAGAGCGGTTGGTACCTGTAGTCCGGATGGGGAAATTCAAACTGCTGGAGCATATGGAATTAACCAATCAGATTTGAGGATTAGGATTAGTTATTTGTAAGTTTGGAACTACACAAACATAATGTGGAATACAAAGAATTAATGCAGGAGCAACAAAACAAAAAAACAATATTTTGGCAAACATATCTTAGAACCTTTTAAACATTATAACATCAAAAAACACTGGTGAAAACATTAAAAACCACATTGGCAAACAGAATAACGAAACCACAAACTTAACTTTGGCGGTAATCATGATCACCTCACCTATGTTAGAAGTACACTTTGAGATTTTTTACAGCAAATTAACCACTCATAGCCAAGCCAGGCAAGCACCACAGTCACAGTCTTTCTGAATTTGTGTCCCTTAATTACTAATCTAGCCTTAAGTGAGAGTTATGCACTCAAGCCATTGAACTAAACCTGGGCTTAGCCTTATTGACACTTCACCAGGTTTTCATCTGTCAATTGGCCTGCCTGACCAATTCATAAAACAGAGCTCAAAGGAGAAGTAACTGGTTTGACATAAATCACACCTTTCAAAAGGTGACAGAATGATTTAATATACAGCAGAAATGCAATCCCTGGTTCAAACACAGCCTACCGCTTTTTTTTTTTTTTTTTTTTTTCTTTGAAGCCTTATTCTTGACAGCCTGGGCTCAAGTTCAGATTGAACCAATTTGAGTGCAGCCATGCTTTGAGCTGAGGTCTGTACATATTACAATTTTACAATTCAAATAGGCAGCATCTATGGTCAAAACTTTTAACATGTCAGAGATTTAATAAAAGGTATAAGCAAGGTTAGTCACAGAAAGCCAAAATGAATTAATCAGTGTGAAAGTCGTAGTTTAATTTAGACTTTTTGTTATTAGTAGCTTACTGTTACTGTAGCTTGTGTTATAAGAACTGACACAAAAAATGTAATGTTTTTGAAGCAGTTATAGATCAAGGTTGCTCTAAGCTTTCACTACCTGACGGTTCGTGCATATATATAAGCACTGTTACCCAGTAACACATGACGTATTTTAAGTCATGTTCCACTGGGAGTCTTAGATGGAAGCTGTGTTGTAAAACCTGTTTGGATGCAGTCAGAGAAACTAGGATAGATTGAGAAATTCGAAGTGAACTACATCTGGTGTTTTGACTGTAATTTGGAAAGCTTTGTTTGCTAAGTAGATAAAGATAAAGCAGATGTAGTTTAGAAAATGGTTTTGATCTTTGAAATTCATAAAGATTTTGTTCATGAAAGATTTTGCAAATTCACGCCTGAAATTGAAGTGAACCACAATTTGAGCTTTTTGTTCACATATGTTTGGGTGATATTTAAAAGTAAAAGTCAGTCTTCTTAAAGCGAAGACATTGTTTACTGAAGGGAAAGGTTTCTTTGCTTTCTTTTCCTATCAGGCAATGTTTGATCCCTGATCTCTCATGGATCACAGATGCGGTGATTCCACTCCCCATTCCAGCCATCAAAAGAAACAATCACATAATCATTGTCTACTTCTTCAACAGTGCACGCATACCAAACGCCTTCTTCATCAACTGCTTCAGCTTTGAAGCCTACAGTTTATGGAAATGCCATCACGTTTTTAATCAACCGTGCATTTAGCTCATACAATCAAAACAGGTTTGCCATTGATAAAGCCGGTCAACTTGTTTTGATGAATCTGCAGTTGGTTGCTAGGATACTAAGAGGTGTCCAGTGTCCCTGGGTAATTGCCTGACCTGACCTGCCTGCCGGTAATTGCCTAAATCCCTGCCTCATTGCGCATGTGTCAATTAAAACCAGAATTCTTAATGAATTACACACTTTGACTATGTTGAAGTCGTAATGTAACTAGATCTTAAACCCATGTATTGGCCGGGATGTACTGATCAAGTTTATATTACATGAATATAACTCAGGCTGGATAAAACCTCCTTTGAATTTCTAATGTTTAAGGCCCCATTCAAACAGTCATGGTGGTTAATGATAGTTTTCACTATCACGAGCATTTGAACATGCACTATTATAGTTTTGCTGTTTGAATGAGCAGATGGTAGTGAATAATAGTTTTTCATCAGCATGCAGTTTTGCCAAAAATGGGCTCAAACTGAGATGGCAAAAATGATAAAGTGACCAAAGAAGCCATCAAAATTTTGAAGAATGCATTGTACTAGTTCATTCCTGTCATCTCCTGGCAGGCTCCTCAACCCAGAACTTGACAAAAATTTCAAATG